TTAAAAATCCCATTCCAGTGCATAAATCCTAAGAAAGCACAGAAGAAGGGGAACAAATACAAGAATTCAGGGACAGTGAGTTTTGAGATTCAGTTAGAATCGCCTCAAAATTAATGTTAATTTGTATGAGTTAACCTATTCAGAAATATCTGGCATTGATTTTATAGTTTCATTTTCTCCAAATGTGGAACAAAAATAAGAGGCAGTTAGCTAACCTAATTTTTATTTAGAGAGAATGGTCATATGCATTAAATATAAATTCTAAAATTATTGTGTATATTTCTTGCAGGTGGAGTTGATGAGTTGTAGGATAGAGAAAGTCTATTCTTTCTTGGATTATGTGAGAGGAGGGTAATTATAGTTAATTAATATTGTAATTAATTAAAACAGATTAGTACATTCTCAATATTAAAAGTAATCTTTTAGCTCTAGGCGAATTATCTGCTATGATATGACTTTGACTTGCAAGTTGGCAATAGCTTTATTTATATGTATTGGACTAGTTTGCATAAATGTTTTAAGAACAACAAAATGAAAGAATCTATTTGTGTTGCAGGACCCAGCTACACTGTACATTTGCTGTAGATTTTACTGCCTCTAACGGAGATCCCAAATCCCCGTCTTCCCTTCACTACATGAATCCCTATAGACCTAATCCCTACGCCAACGCTCTCCGAGCTGTCGGAACTATCATACAGGACTACGACACGTAAGTGGACATTATTTAGATTATAAAAATTTCCTTATTAACTAAATCTGGTTGTGAATCAGATTTACACATTTTTAAAAAAAATATGTACATTAATTGATAAAGAAAACAGTTTACTTTAAGGAGTTTTGTGGTATTTTTAAAAAAAGGTTGAAAACTGTTGAATTTAATAACAGTTGTCTGGATAAAAATGAAATATCTTAGATGATGGTTCAGTTTTGATACTATTAAGTAGAGATGAAGATATAATTTTTTTACTTTCTTTTTCAGAGACAAGTTATTTCCTGCTCTGGGATTTGGTGCTAGACTTCCTCCTGATGGAGTTGTTTCCCACGAATTTGCTCTGGTAGGACACACGCATGTTTAGTCAACATTTAAAACAAAATGACTTTTTTACTGACTGACTCAAGTGTCCTTACGTGTATATGCCCTTATCAAAATACACTTGAAAGTACATGCATATATGTTTTTGATTGTAGAATGGGAATCCAAACAACCCATACTGTCAGGGAATTGATGGAGTTTTAGATGCTTACAATAAAGCCATTCAGTCTGTACAACTGTACGGTCCCACTAACTTTGCTCCTTGTATCAACCACGTGGCTAAGTATGTCCAACCAAAAATCAACTTCTTGTTTTTTTGTATCAAACACAGACATTGTTGATTGAAGTGTTTAAATTTTGTTTTGAGGATATCTTATTAAGATATTAAAAATAGAAATAAATGTATAAAATTGACACATGTAAGGCCATGACTTATCAATTTCATTCTATTAATAATAATATATAAAATCTTCAAAGATTACAAGTTACATGTATATTCACCATAACTTGTGTCAGTTAAATTACAATAATCATTGTAAATTTATACATTTTGTTTACCAATTAAAGTGTTGTAAAAACTGTGAATTACACAATTTATCCTGCTAGTAAAGTAATGCCTCTATTTAAATTAATGCATGATATGTCATCATGGCTACTTTTAGATTACTAAACAATGATTTTGTCAAAAAAATGAGGTAGACCGTTTAGGATACAACTATTATAAACTTTTGACATGCATGGCAAACAACCTAAAGATACATGTACATAGAAGTTATCTTTTAATGTATGCAGTATTAACTATCTACTCTGTTATGACAGATATTAATAATGATTGTAGTCAAAATGCTATCTACCTCATCCTATGGCTCTGTCTTGCAGATGTATATCTATATATATATATATATATATATATATGTATAAATGTTTACTCACTTCCTTCATCAATATTCATGAACAGACAAAATTCTTCATTTCAGATCTTGCTCAATTATTTTATAATTACAACGACCTATTTCACTAAACTTTATGGAAAGTTTTTTTAAAAAAAAATTTTGTTACATTTCATGTTTCTCAAATCATTTTGTTTCATTCAAAAATTAGCATTATTACCTGTATAGCATGTATTTCTTTAAACTCAGTAAAATGAGGGACTGCATGGATAAAACAAAACCACGGATTATTTTTAGATTTGCTGCACAGAAGCGGGACGGGAATGATTACTTCATCCTCCTTATAATCACGGACGGAATCATCACAGACATGCCACAGACGTGCGAGGCTATTGTTAATGTAGGTGTACTTACTCAGTTTAAAATGCAGGAATTAGCTGTTTTAAGTATGATTTTTCAAAGGGAATAATGCCCCCCCCCCCCCCCCCCCCCCCCACCCCAAAACCTACTTTTCCCTGCTTGTCAACTTTTTCATAAGTAAAAAAAATTTTTCTCTGGGCACTTTCAAAAACGATGCTATGTATATACCTGTTCTATACAAAGGGAATAATGCAAAGCCTACTTGCACATTGGGCACCATGATTATATACCTTGTACATCTTCAAAAGATATTTGCATGAAGATATATTTGCATAAATAAAGATATATTTGCATAAAAAAACATATATTTGCATAAATAAACATACATGGTAAAACTTGTTTAGTACGAACACGGATATTGCGAATTCACGGATATAGCGAAGTCATTATGGATCCCCTGCTATATGAATTTAATGAATTTCTTATAGGGATATAACGAATTACAGATATAGCGAAGTAATTTCAAAGGTCCCAGTGACTTCGTTATAACCAAGCTTTGCTGTATTGCATAAATAAGATATATTTGCATAAATTCAGACATATTTGCATAAATGTATATATTTATGTAAATTGTAGGCTGCCTCTCTTCCTCTGTCTATCATCATTGTTGGTGTTGGTGATGCAGACTTTGAAGGTAAGGTTCTTATATTTTACATTATTTGAGTGTTTCTCATTTTCCCTTGGGTAATTCAAACAATTGTATTTGAAATAAATATTTATATTGTGAATTATTTTTATTTATTTAGTGAAATTACTGTAAATATTACATTTAGTGTGTACAATATTTGGCGGAAAATGAATTTTGAACAAGTTAGCGAAGATCTGACTTCTCTGACATTTCTCAATGTTCTAATTTATGTCTGTACGAGGGTTGTTAGAAAAGTTCGTGGACACATTGAATAACGGAAAATCTATTGTGTTCTGTGAAGTATGACCTATGTCTGAATAAATTCCTATATTTTGTTTATAAGTATGTAAAAAATCAGGTCCATTTACTTAAATCTTGAAAACTTACAACGATTTTTACTATGAGGACATGGGATTCACGGAGCAATCACTTGACGTTTGGAGACGTGACAACCAGATTTTTTTTCCGTTAAGCTTTGTCCAGTTCTATAAATCTTTCATTTCTTCAAATTTTTCTCATCTTATTTCCACTTTAAAATTAAATATCTGTATCAAGACATGTTACTATTCTACTATAATGTCTTTTGTACTGATTCGGATTGTTCTGATTCAGATATCATTGAGATCTTTTAAAAAAAGTCTATGCAGTTAATCGATCAGGAATGGAAACTATGCAAAAATATAGGCACAACGTCCGTGCGATAAGGGTTATTGAAGTATCGATGGAGTTTTTCATTAACAATGTTAATCCTTCCATTCTTATAAAGCTACAACCGTTTGAAAACTTTGTCCTTTGTATGTGTAGAAAATTCCCGGCAGAATCTTGCACATTTTAATCTCATTTTAGACATTTTCCCGCCTGCACACATAATTTGTACGTAGTGCAATGCTCCATGACGCTTGATGACGTTCCGAATTTTGGCTGTGTTTTTACGCGTTGATTATTTATAAATGCTATAAAACTTTCATATACCCTCCAATTTTATTCAAAATTTCTCCCAGTGACGTTTCATGAATCCTTTAGCGACAGGTAAAATATCATAAATCTCTTTTCGCTACAATTGTGGAATTTTTAATTTTAGTAAAGAGTCTATGAGATGTAAACGTGCCAAAATGTAGCATGCTCCGTGAAGCAAGTTTTATCAAAATAAAAAAGCTGTATATTTTTCATTGATCACCGAAGAGCACCAAATTTTTGTATATTTATTGGAAAATAGGTTAAGATTTTATCCGGAAAGTTTGACGGGTTTCATGGAAATAGCGCGCTCACAATAGAATTTGTCCGCGAACTTTTCTAACACCCCTCGTAAGTGCAAATCATTTAGGGTTGTACTTGAATTATATTGGAAGTTTCTCTCTGCCAAAAGCACTAAATAGAATACACAGCCAAATGTAATACATTTACAGTAAGTGATTATAATTTCGTTTAGCTATGGATATCTTGGATGGAGATGATGTGAGATTGTCTTCACGTGGTCGCTACGCAGAAAGAGACATTGTACAGGTATTGTTCTGTCTGTGTTTCTTTGATTTTTGGGTGTTTTTTTTTTTCTGAAAGATTCAATTTTGATCAAAGAACAATTTAATTTTTTGCTTGTAACTAATTAATACTTTTAAGAGTGAAAATTTGCTGGAAAATATTTATAATTGTTAAAAAAATATAAAAACTTTAAATATCATTTCCCATTTGCATTTTTTTTCACCAATTAATGGCAAGTAGCCATTTGATGTGGAAAAAACTAATTGCTTAAAGAGTTAAAATTTTCTGGAAAATATTTAATTGTTAATACAATAAAAATTTGTAAAAATCATTTCCCTTTTGCATTTTTTTAATTGATTGTAGTTCTTAAGTGAAAAAAAAATTAGTAAAAGTAATTGTACTTGTATAATGAAAACTTAATGGTATAATATAAACAAAACTGATCATTTCCAGTTTGTTCCAATGAGAGATTTCCAGGGACGGGCGGGAGAAAATCCAGCTACAGTCCAAGCCATGTTAGCAAAGGAAGTCTTGGAGGAAATTCCGGACCAGTTTCTGTCGTACATGAAATCTCGGAACATTAAACCCAAACCTCCTCTCCAAAGACAACTCACCATTTCATCTGTGTCTTCCTTGCCTATTACAGAGCAGTGATCTGCATAAAAAACTGAGTGAAAAAACTATACATAACTGTATAAATATGGACATATGTTTTTATGTTTTGTAAAGTAGATTAGCATTAATAGTTAGTGAATTTTGACAAACTAAAAATACAGTAGGGCTTGTTTATCTTGAATATCTTGAACACTGAAACCTTGAATATCAGGGACATGTTGAAGTGATTTGGCAGTCCCACCCATATTTTCTGTACATTTTTTACCTTGCTATCAGGAATTCTTTGCTTTCTCTCAGTTTAATCTTGGTGCAGTTGAGTTTGAGATAAAGAAGTTTGACTGTATATGTGTAAAATGGATGCATTTCCATAATTATATAATCAAGTTTAAGTATTAACTGAATATATGTAATTAAATATTTGTACCTCTTTAATTACCTCCGATTTTCAATATAAATGTTATCATGTACTGTATTTACAGTTTACATTCTATTGTTAAATAATATCTTTTTTGTGTCATTCCTTTGTTCAGAAATTTTTTTTTGTATTTTATCCCTTTTATCTTACATAGCCTACATCCATCTCCTTGTTCCACCTGTTCTATGGGTCAAGTATAACATATAGTTAATGTAGAAATTCATTTGGCGAAATATTATAATAAGTTATTTTTTTGCATGAATTGGGTTTTCATATTTGTTTGATTTCTCTGTATGTAATTTATAATACAGCAATAAGAATATTCAGGAATCACGAATATATCTCTTCACATTTTATGTAATCTATATTAATAACGAACAAAGCAATATATATTTTCACTGACTATGAATAAAAAAACTGTCTATTTACATTCCATTTATGTGGATTGCTAAATGTTTCTTTTTGTTTATGTCTAACACATGAAAGAAAAAGGACATAATCAAGTAGATATTTGTAAAATATTATTATTTATCATGTACAGAAGTATGTTGCATTGTTAAATGTAGGTTATTGTTATTATTTAATATATACCCTGTAGTGCATAGCTAATTACTGGTGCTTAGCCTTATGACTTTGTACATTTAATTATTTAGCAAAATTGGTATGAAGTGCTTTTTGTATACCTACATGTATTTTTCTCCATGTCATTGATATTATATGATCTAATTTTTGACTTTGTTTATCACATATACAATAACACATTTTAAATTGAACTCTTTTCATATAAAATATATAGATATTTTCTAATAAAATGACTAAATTTTAAAATTTTTAAAAAATTTGTTATTTGTTTAAGATTTATTGAACCAAAATCTTTGTGACTACATGTATAGTATTTGAGTTTGTGCAAGTTTAATATTTATTTTTGTGAAATGCAGCATACTGGATATACAATTACAATGTATATAATTACAATAATCATTTATGACTGGAACTAAGAACCAGTAAGAAACTTATGTTGTGAACTAATATTGCATAATCTTTTATTTTTTATATTAATTTTAAAAGTTTTATATGAGAGGGCAAAAAAAAGTGAATATAAGTATCTGTTTGCATTACAGATCCATACAACATATCATTTTTTGTTTGTTCTTTTTTAAGCCATTAATTTTTGTTTCTTTTTTTAACTACCGTAAATCTGGAATTTTTACGTAGATTTTATTTTGCGAATCTGGGTCACACCATTAATTTTTACGTTTCAAAATTTTGCATAATTATTTGTTTACATTTTCTTATTGTTGAATCAAAAAAAAGTTCTATTTTTGCGAATAAAAAGTGATTTGCTAAAAATTTGTCTATAGCAAAAATTTCCAGATGTACGGTATTCATTTGTACATTTGAAAAGTTATTACACCCTAGTGATGAAATTTAAATATATTACCTAAAGAAATTTCACATGAATGATGAGCAAATTTACATTGATTTCATATTTAACATAATACATGAAAGAAATGGAAGGACCTATCAATGTAAACAAGATATTTGTAACTCCATATTATTTTCATGTAATTCATACATGTATTGTTTACTTTTTATTGTTAAATGTTAAATGTAGGTTATTGTTATTATTTCTAATATATACCCTTAGTGCACATTGAACATAAAGATAATTACATTAATAAAACAGAAATGTGGTAAGCCTTATGTCACTTTTTAAAATTATAGTCATTTAATTATTTAGCAAAATTGGTTAAATTTGGAAGCAAATGTGTTTGTAAAAACTACATGTATTTTCTCTCCTTGTCTTTTGCATCATTATCCATTTTGTGATCTAATCTTTGGACTTTGTTTATCACAAACAGGTTGTTGTTTCTTTGCAATGTGTCACACATTTTAAAGATTGCAATACACTTTTCAAAATTGATGGGTATGTGTAGGTAGAATATATAGATATTTTCTAAAAGTCCATTGAATTCTTTAAAGTATGTCACTATAATAATTTTCCAATCATTACAAAATTTTTTAATTGCAAATTATCTGAACATTCATTACAAAGCATTTACTCTTAAGCTTATAAGAGGCTTTCAAATCTTTGTGACTACATGTTCATAGTATTTGAGTTTGTGCAAGTTTAATATTTATTTTTGTGAAATGCAGTCAAGTGAAGACTGTTAGATGATATACAATTACAATGTATATAATTACAATCATTTATGCTGCTGATGTCACACGAAACTAGGAACCAGTTAATGGTTTATGTTTTATAGGTTATGTTGTGTGTAACATTAAAACCTCTGCAATTGTAATCTATTATTTTTTTCCTTTTTGTATTAATTTTTTAAAGTTTTATATGAAAATATCGAGGGCAAAAAAAAGTGAATATAAAATTGAGATCAAAATTTTGTTTGCATTACAGATCCAAAGTAACAACATTAAAAAATCATTTTTTTTGTATCCATACAAAAATGAAAGGTATGACAAAACTATTACATTTTTCAAGCATTGTTAATTTTTGTTTTTTTGAAGAGTATTTTAAAAATTAATGAAATTTTCTATTCATATTGTACATTTGAAATTAGTTATATTACACCAAGGTCATTACCTTTTTCCTTGACATGAAATTTAAATATATTACTTCTATTTCAAAAGTTTAAATTTCACATATTACTATATTAGATATAGAGATATTACCAAATTTACATTAATTTAACATATATTGGCTAACTCTGGATTTCTTAATTTTTTAGTATATTAGTATTTTCAAGCTTCCTATATTTAACTTTTTCTTATTTTCACATATAATAAAGTAGTCTTATAAATGTACAAAATGATACAAAAACAAAAAGTTTTGATCACGAGAGAAAAAATACTTTAAATGGATTATTGTAAACAACTTTGATAGAAGCGTTTAAAAGCTGTTCTAGTTTATTTGAAAAATCATATTTATTTGATATATTTTGTTTGTTTTTTAATTTAACTTACATTTGAAAATTTCTCTCTTTGATAAAAAATTATAACTAAATTCAATTTTGAGAGGCTAATAATTTATACATGTATTGTTATACTTTTTTTAAAGTTGTAAAAATATGGTTTTTTAAATTCCTTACACCTCAATATATAAGACATATAAGCAAATATGAATTGAATGTTTCATCTAGTCAGAAACCAAAGAAGAATCCTACCTTAAATTCTGACTACATTTACATTAATTAATCCTGATGATAATGTTTATTAAAACAAGGTTTAACACAATAGTATAAATTAGTATTGTACCAACTGATAGCCAACTTTTTTACAATCCAAAGTTACCACAAAAATTCGTAATTTGGGGGAAAAAGTTGTGAATTTTCCTAGTACATTTTTTATCTGTGCTGCTATATGAAGTGTAGTTGGGATTGAAGATGAAGTGATGTGAAATATTCATCTTCCATGCACCTTCTTTTTCTAAGCATCTCTTAATCTTCAAATAATAGTAGGTCGCCAGCGTGGCATAGTGGTTAGAGCATCTGCTCTAGAGTCGCGAAGTAAGGAGTCGATCCTTGCGTCGGGGGTTCGAATCTCATTGTGGGACGTGGAGAACGGTCCTTCGGATGAGACTGTATAAACCTAGGTCCCGTGTCGCAGTAGGTGTTGGCACGAAAAAGATCTCTCCCTACTCAATGGCCCTGAGTGCTGAGTATAGGACAAAATTTGCAGCTCTCCACCGGCAAGTGGTGGCGTCTCCATGTGGGTGAAAAATTCTCGAGAGGGATTTTAAACAATATACAATCAATCAATCAAATGATAGTTAAAGTACAATTCCAAACCAAACACTATAGAAAATGTCAGGATGGATTATATTAAAAAGAAACATATGAGAGAATTTGAAAAGAAAGTGAGTGCCGAAATTGATGTTATCACGACGTTTTTGCATACTGTAGATCACTGAATTTTTCGCGACACCTTATTTTGACGAGAAATGCATTGCTTCTTGATAAGCGAGATAGAATTTTTACGAATTGTGGCTATTAATTGCTCTATATAGTCTTAATACTATTAAACATGAATATAATATTTTGCGAACATACTGTTTAGCTTTATTACGCGAAAATAAAGTTTTGCCGAAAAAGTTATTTACAATATCAAGTATCGTGCTGTGATAGACATTGCTTTATCTTTACATATAAAAGGTATAGTAAATAGATTAATGAAATTATTAAAGGTAAACGTTATGGAAAACATTCGACCTTATTAATGATTTTACATGAAATTAATGCTAAATCAACCCTCACATCTTTTTAGCTGACTTCCAATATTCCAAAAATATGCCTTTGGCATATACCTAAAGTGAATAGGTCTCTGGTTTTGGTGACAAGGAGCATACGGCGAGTGTAAGCAGTCAATAGAGGAAGCTTTGGCCTCCATATAGCTTTAATCCAACGTCAGTTGTTTTTAGAGGTATGTGTATGCAATGCTCGCTCACCATTTGTATTGTTTCAATAGACTTCTGCTGGTTTGCTACCGCGTCTCTAGATCTGTACATAGCCTACAGCCAGTTGGGCACCCGCTTTGTGATCGAAAGATCAAGTGTTTGAATAACGACCGCGACCTAATACTGCATGTAGATCACCTAATTTTTGCGCCATCTTATTTTCGCGAGATAATATATGTCATTGACTCTTTCTAAGGGAGGCAAAATTTTCACGATTGGTGGTCATTGCTCTATATAATATTAAGGAATTCTATTATACGCGAGAATGAATTTTTTGCGAGCATACCTTCTCGCGTAATTACGCGAAAATAAAGTTCTCGCGAATGAAAAGTGATTTACAGTACCATAAAAAGTGGATAGCAGTTCATGTTCCTTCGCCAATTTTGCAAGCACTTGACTCTTTGAAGTGAAATTTGCAGCTCATTCGGATGAGACTTTAAACCCCGTGTCATGGTAGGCGTTGGTACGTCAAAGAACCCTCACTCTTCATTGGTCTAAATTGTAGAGATCTAGATTTGAGGTCCTTCACCGGTATACGGTAAAATATTTATCAACCCCGTATTCTTTCAACATCATCCATTATTGTTTTAATTAAATCCGTCTCTTATATAATTACAAATTGGAATAGGTAACCATTTATTCAGTAAGAAGCTTTTGTTGATGAAATATGGAAATATCGAACAGTGATCAAGCTATAAAGTCCATTGAAACAATCGGAAACAGAGCAAAGGTAGGATCAAGTGCCATAGAGGAGTAAACATCCTCTGTCGATTAGTGGCGTATCATCAGGATCTGTAATATGTGACAGGATTATTTTTTATTCTCAGAGGTCACTTTTTAGCCATCATATTCGGAAAGTTTGAACCTAGTTGATTTCACTCCAGGAATTGAAGACTTTAAGATATATCAACTAACCATCTTCATTCCCCCTTGGAGCTTCACCAATGTGAACACAGAAATCTATCCAGTTGGGTGACGTGTTGATGTAATGAGTTACAGAAACTTTCAGTTACTACACCATGCTTAGCTTGTTTGTTTGATCAACTAATAAGGATTTCGAAACACGGTAGAATTCTAATTTATATACACTTCAATTAATGGCCCTTCCCATCCCGGTCTTCATGGCAAAGTGACATAAAAGCTGACAGAGGAAAAGCTTTTTATCACCACACAAACATTTTGCACTAAAAATCCACGAATTAAGAAAAGAAATCAAAGAGGAAAGATATGTCTAAAACATATCAATTACTATCCATAAATAAGTTCTGAGTATCTACCATTTACTAGTTTACTAAAGAACTGTGGCGACAGGCGAGCAACAAAGGTGACAGGTGCGGGAACATTGGAAGTCGCTAGTCGCTGACCTGCACACAGGCGGCACAGGCCATAGAGTCGCTCTTCACCGACCGGAGCAGCGTTGGAGTTTGGTAGCCACCGGTGCGACTGAGCAGCCCTGTTTAGGAACGCACTGCTCACCTCCATGGCAAGAGGAGCGGATTAGAAAAGGTATCCCAAACATTGCCCGCTCCACACTTCCCTAGCCAGTTTACCGCGGCTGGTGGGGACCCTACAAATGCAGTCGAAATAACAAAGAGAACAAGAAGAAAACAAGGATCATCCCACTGCACCTTGGATCGTGGAACTTTTGAACGGTTCTCGACAGAGACAATATACAGACAGACCCCAGAGACGCACAGCACTGATCGCTAGCGAATCGAACTCGTGAGATACAACATTGACATTGCGGCTCTCAGTGAAACCAGGTTGGCTGGAGAAGGTGAACTTTGTGAAAGAGGCGCTGACTACAACTTATTTTGGAGTGCACGAGGGGCAGAGGAGAGACGAGAAGCTGGTGTAGGCTTTGCTATAAAAACGACACTTGATGGCAAGCTAGTCGGCGTATTCAAAGGAGTAAACGACCGCCTGATGACGATGAGACTCCCCCTTACTCGAGGAAAGTTCGCCACTATTGTCAGCGCATACGCTCCTACCCTGACTAACCCAGGGGAACTAAAAACTAGTTCTATGAGGACCTCCACAATGTCATCAATGCCGTCTCCAACGCCAACAAGCTCATCATTCTTGGTAACATAAATACGAGAGTTGGACGTTACACCACCACCTGGGAAAGGGTGACTGGGAAGCACGGAGTGGGCAAGTGCAACAGTAACAGCCTGCTGTTTCTCCAGACCTGCGCTGAACATGGCTTTCTCATCACACAACCGTTTTCTACCTTCCCACCCGTAACAAGACGTCACGGATGCACCCTCGATCAAAGCACTGACATCATTCTCATTGACTACGTCATTGTCACGAAGAGACAGGCATGATGTTCGTGTCACCAAGGCAATGTGCGGCACAGAGTGCTTAACATATCACCGTCTCATCGTCTCTAAACTCAAGTTCCGGATCAAACCCAAGATATGTCCTCAGGAGAACAAGACACCAAAATGTCTCAACGTTTGCATGCTCAAGTTGCACTCCACCTCTCAGTACTTTGCTGACACCCTGGAAGAATGCATGAACTCCACTGTGCTGGATGACCACGACGTGGAAGCAGCACGGAACACACTTCGGAATACAGTGTACAATAAGCCTTCGAATGTCTGGGGCCCTCCATCAGAAAAACAAAACTGGTTTGATGAGAAACTGCACAGAGATTACGCAGCTTCTGGAGGACAAGCATCGCATTTACAAGGCTCATATAGATGATCCACCTCCACAGCCAAGAAAGACGCTCAGAGGAACGCTCACAGTACAGAACAGCAAAAGCTTAGGGATATGCAATACTCTTGGTTGAATGCCAATGCTGACGAGATCCAACGCCACGCCGACTCTCATGACATGAACTTTTACTGTGGACTGAAGGAAGTCTACGGGCCAACTCCATCAGGCTCATCCCCTCTCCTAAGTGCGGACGGGTTAACACTCATCACAGAGAAGGAAAAGATACTCGACAGGTGGGCGGAACATTTCAGTGGCGTTCTGAACCGCCCTTCTACCATCAATGACGAAGCTATCAACCGACTGCCCCAGATTCACGTCAACCAGTCAATGGACGCCGTTCCCACGGTGGAAGAGATCTAGAAAGCAATTAATCTGCTGTCAACTGGCAAAGCACCTGGTGGAGACTCCGTCCCAACTGAGATTTACACAGAAGGGAGCATGGCTTTAGTCGAAAAACTCCACCATCTGTTTGAGCTCATTTGAGACCAGGAGAAGGTGCCTCAAGACCACAAGGATGCCTCAATCATCCACCTGTACAAGGGAAGGGAAATAGACAGGCCTGCGACAACCACCATGGAATAGCCCTTCTCTCCATCGCAGGCAAGACGCTGGCACGAGTTCTACTTAACCGTCTCATTAAACACCTTGAGGATGGCCTCCTGCCTGAGAGTCAATGCGGCCTCCGGAAGAATCGCGGTACAATCGACATGTTGTTCGTTGCACGTCAGCTGCAAGAGAAGTGTCAGGAACAGAACTCCGACCTGTATTCCACTTACGTCGATCTGACCAAGGCTTTTGACACTGTCAGCAGAAAACGCCTTTGGCAAATCATGGCGAAGTACGATGTCCAACAAAATTCATCACCATTATTTGACAACTGCACGATGGGATGCAGGCGAGAGTCCGAGATGGCAGCAAAATTTCAGAGCCATTCTGTCTCCAGTGGAGTGAAGCAGAGCTGCGTCCTCGCCCCGACGCTCTTCAATTTGATGTTCTCCGCCATGCTGACTGATGCTTCGATGGCACGGACACTGGAATTGGCATCAAATGGCGCTTTGATTGCTCAGTCTTCAACCTCAGACATATACAAGTGAAGTCCAAGGTTCAATCGTACACCATCAACGACCTTCTGTTTGCTGATGATTCTACCTCAACGCTACCTCCGAGGTTAATATGCAGCACAGCGTTGACAAGTTCTCTGATGCCTGCAACAACTTTGGCCTTATTAGCACAAAGAAGACCGAAGTCATGCACCAGCCAGCACCAGTCAAACCATATGTTGAGCCCAACATCACCATCAACAACTAACGGCTAAATGAAGTGGACATGTTCACGTACCTCGGTGGCATTCTCTCCTGGAACGTTGTTATCGATGACGAGGTGAACGCTAGACTGGCCAAAGCGAGTGTTGCTTTCAGCAGACTGTACAAGAACGTATGGAACAGAAGAGGCATGACAACAGAGACAAAGATAAAGGTTTACCATGCAGTGGTTCTCACTTCACTGCTGTATGGCTGTGAAGCATTGACTTTCTACCAGAGGCATGCCAATAAGCTGAACCACTTCCACACGAACAACCTTAGAAAGCTTGTCGGTATCAAGTGGCAAGAAAAAGAGTCCAGACACAGAAGTCCTCACCCGAGCTGGCTTGCCCAGCATCTTCACCATGCTCATGCAGTCACAACTCCGCGGGGCGAAACACATAGTCCGTATGCCAGGCCATCGACTCCCCAAGAAACTACTCTTTGGTAAACTACTGGAAGGAAAGCGTGCCTGTGGTGCCCCAAAAAAGCGATTTAAAGACAGCTTAAAGGCCTCCTTCCTTCAAGGCATTCAGAATCAAACCTGATTCATGGGAAGTTGCAGCACAAGACAGGTGTGGGTGGAGAGCCGCAGTCCACGAGGGTGACAAGAGCTATGAAGCAATCATAACCTCTGCAGCAGAACAACGCAGGAAGGCCAGGAAAGACACCGCCAATGACACAGCAGCTGCCACCATCCCCTATCTTCACTGTCCGAGACTATTCCGTGCGACGATCGGCCTTACCAGTCACCTCCGCACCTGCCGTCCAGGTTAACACCTTCCCTCTCGAGGATGAAACAGTGGTCATCGACGCCACCGACGGACGAACAACAGAGAACATAATTATAGCATATTACTGTGTATTTAGGAATGAAAGGTATGTGCTTTCATTTCTCTTGCTTATCAATATTAACAATGTATTTATGTACATGTGTCAAGTTTATGTTCTTTTAGCACGAAATTCAACATAATAAACAAACTTAACTCAACCTAAGGAAAAACAGAATGGTTTATTGAGTAACAAATAATTTTTAAATCACAACAAATACTCAAAGACATGATAATACACCAAGGGTGCTCGTCGTGGGGTATTACACATTATATTATTATATATGAATATACTTCAACACTTAACTAACGTTAACATCACAGAAAGCATAGACAAATGATACTACAAAATAATTTAATTTAAATTAGTCCTTTTTAATTACCGAATTCGAATCAAAGTCCATCAAACACTTGATCAAAAAATATTCAGAACAATCCATTATTAAAAACAGCATTAAAATGATTAGAAATGAATAACCGTTGATAATTAGATTTAAGTAGTATAAATAAAACTTGATTATATGATTTTTAAAGAAGTTTTTTTTAAAAAAAAAAGTTTAATCGATATGAGTGTTATCTCAACTTTACCTAATTGTCTCTTATGAATTTGCATTATTATTCCTTAACTGAATGATTTCCCAGAAACTATATCTGAATACCAGTGTAAATAAAAACGGTACTGTATTCAATAATATACGAAAGAAATAGAAAGAAACATATACCTACTGTATACAGGGTTATTTTCGCCCCGTGTTATTTTAGCCCTTGACATTTGGAAACAAGTTTGTCCCGTTTCAATCTCGACCAGAAGAATTTTCATAAGAAATTATACGGCTTCTTTAGAATTTGTCCCATTTTAAATTCACCCATTTCCGATGAGGGCGAAAGGGGCGGAATTTTACCTATATACAGCATATGGGATTAGCTAGTTAATTGAAATTAATTAAAGATGATTATAAAAAAAATTATACTAATGATTTTGAAATGTCTGATACACTTTTGTTCTCTTCTGAACATGTCATTATCCCCAGGATCAAAATAAACGAATTATTTGGATATAAATTTAGTTTAAAAAAATGAATAACACAGCATAAATATAATACGCAAAATACTGCAGAGGATACGATTAAACAGCAATAAAAACATTTGATATGTTAAACAACATGTTAAAATTTAAAACACTATTAGAATAGATCTAGACTGGTAAAGATTGACAACTGTACATAATAAGACATATCAATACATAATAAAAACAATATAAAATGGACGGCTCAAATTTGATATGTACAGCGTAAATACAAAACATATAATTAATGGGACTGCTTTCCAGGACCACCATTTATAATTTCAGATATACATGTATTTTGGTTACATCTTTTTGTCGTAAAAAGTATTAAATCAAACAATGTAAAATTTCAGCCTCAAATTATTGTTTGGTGCAAGTCAACTTTTTGAGCAAGCTTTGATGTCAATATAGTGTTCCATAAATTAAGGGAAAAAATGAATAAAAGAAAGAAACACAGAAACAAAAATACCATTCATTAGAACATATTGTTTAATTGATTAACAGGCCTGAAAAGCAGTCCAATAACAACGGCAATAAGATATATTTATCAATCACAGCACTTCACCATTTCATAGTTCTGCAAGGCCTTATTAAGGTTAGTTATTTCTGACTGGTATAGTCCAAGTCCATTTCTTGATACTTCACCACATGTAAATTATAATTATTTCATCTTAATTGTTATTATTTATAATATATTATCTATAATATTCTGCTAGAAGTCATGCATGTTTACTTACTTCTTACTGAAAATTCTGATATTTTTGGGCCTAAAGGAGGAAAATAACTAATAATATAATTCATGCATAGAATGAGTTTGATTTATGTTGAGTTTCTTTTAAAAATTTTGATTCAGAAAAAAAATTGCTCCAAAACTTTTGATTTATAAGATTGTTACAGGCTTATAGTCTTACATGTATAGGACATTTTGATATCCTATAGTCTTATACAGTCAATTCTCGAATTATCGCCATTCGATTCATCGCCATTTTCGCAATACCGCCATGATTTCCCAAGAACGTTTTTCCTGCTATATAAAATTCTCTTTATAACGCCAAATTCGCATACCGCCATCCGCCACCCTGTTTTCAAACCAAACGTCCATTTTTAAGTGTCAATTATCTCGATATACCGCCACAGGTGCATGCAGTCAGTGAAGCGTGGCTAATTGGTTGACGCTATCCCTGTTGAAAAGCATGCAAAGCCAGACAAGGTTCACGCAATTAAATAATTAAATTGGAATTAATTGAACAAACAATTTTAATACGAACTGTTACAATGTATAATGATTTTGTTCTGTTGTTTTGTTTAAAAAAAATCATTTAGTCACAGCTTTGCCACGAAAGCGGTAGTTGTTAAAGTACGCCGAATACGATATTATTTTGATGATCTCTGCTTTAAAATATGCAAAGTTTGCTTAAAAATAATTATACGGTATAAATTGTGAACATTTCACTAACAATGATCGATGCCATAAACAATAAATTTATTCAAGAAACCATTTTACGTTCTGTCAGCAATATATCACGACGATCGACCCAGCATATTTTTTTTCAATATCAGACGTGCCAATTTACATGTACATGGATGCACATGTAGTCAGTACTTGTCTTTATTTCATAACTGCACATTTTTTAAAAGGAATTGTATATTAAATATTACTTGAAGTATTTTAAAATTTAGAAATATGTTTTATGTACATGTAATTATAAGAATAGAAACGCTTTATGGTATTTCTAAGAACAGTAACTCTACATCTTGTTCCCTAAAAGGTGGGAAATTCAATTCATCGCCAAATTCGTTATACCGCCATGATTTCTAAATTACAAAAGGTGGCGGTTTATCGAGAATTAACTGTAGATGATATACATACATTAACACTCTTTAACAAATATATTTTTGAAATTCCATCAATTTGACTGATACTAACATTTAGTATTTATGCTACTGAATAACAATGTATCATTTCTCAGCTGCAAAGCATGCTCCTTTCTGTATTCTTTAGTTAAAAAATTAATGAATAAATGAATTTTGAGAAAAAATTACCCTAAGACTGTGATAATGCATTGCATTAAATAAAGTACATTTCTTCATAAGGAGCATTATGCATTTAGAGTCAATCAATGATGGATTCAGATAATCAGATATAGATTTGTACAACATCAGTTGCACATAAAATGACAAACTTCAATATAGAGGAAATAAAACCATCTAATAAATACTAGTAAATCATTCTTTAAAGAATTCCTTCAAATCATGTTTTCAATTAAATTGTATAAAAACATATAAGTTTTGAGCATGTCCGTTGAAGTTACACGTTTGCACTGGGTTGTTATTAGCTGTTGGTGTTTTGGTCTCCCTCCATAGGATTTGCTCCCTGATCTGCTGGTGGTTGACTAGGATTTTGTCCCATTGTCTGTTGCTGCTGCTGCGCTGGGTTATTTATCGGATGGTTTGGGTTGTTCAAAGGATTCGCATGAGGATCTTCTGGATTGACTTTGTTCTTCTTACTCCTTTAGTAAAGAAGAAAAAAACATAACCTTTTGCTTTTGAATACATTTCTTGAATACTGCACAGAAATATTTTCGCCCCTTACGCCCTACTTTCATTTGAGCGAATTTAAAACTGGGCGAATTCAAAGAATACAGTATAATTTCTTAAAGAAATTTATGACCGGGCGAATTTGAAAAAAAGTGCAAAATTGTTTGCTAATGTGAAAAGGCGAAAATAACACGGGGCGAAAATAACCCTTGGCCTGTATACAGTATGAGATTTTTACATAGTAATTACATGTTTAACATTATTGTAAAACACCCTTGCAAAGAGCATATCTATCCGATGAAAATTATTTCCTTTCCGTTTCTTACAGCGCTGACTGACTAACAAACAAACACACGCGATTGAGTTATTATATACCCACCAAATCCATTGCGAAGGGATAATAATTGCTAAATGCAGTTAAGAAATGTACTCACATTTTGATGAGAACGAGGATAATGAGTATGACGATGATAACACCGAGGATTGCCCCCACAACTGCCACAGGAATGACCCAAGCCTTGGAAGTTGTTTTCTATTATTAAAATAACAAAGTTTTAAAGTATTTAGACTATACTCTAACCATTCATAACAATCCATATTACACTCTGCATATTTTATGCGTCTTTTTCATGGTAGAGGCAGTAAATATGAGAGTTACTGTAGGGGTGTGTAAATGTTTGAATATAAAGTCCAAAAAAGTCGATTTATATGATATGAAATATTTTTTTGCGAAAGGTGAGAGCAAATATTTCATATTTTATAAATCGACTATACCCTAAAGTTCTTCAAATATAATGCGAAAAGGTAACAATCATTTTTATAAAGTCAGTACCGTAGTTGGAGCTGGTTCTGTGACCAATAAGATTTCGCCTGCTTGTATATCAAGATCGTCTCCTGTAGCTAGCTTTATAGCTTCTTTCAACTTCTGGACGATTTCGCTTTGTCTACAAAGCATCAACGTATCAATTTTCAGCTCTTGATCTTATTTTCTGTCATAGAAAATATATCAAATCCTTTATTTAATAAAACCTTGTTTCATTTATTAACAGATCATATAAATGTATGTCTATTTAATTGAAATGCTACAACATATTAGCTATCATCGCCACCAAATCAATTTTTTTTAATTTTCAATTAAAATTTGGCATTTTATGCTTACATTGTTGTGTCTTGTAAAATTTTTTGTAAGACAGTCTGAGGAATAGCTATCTCTAGATTGCTTAGCACAATGCCACGCCTTTTCCTCTTTCGTTTCGAAGACGAAGCTGAACAGAGAGGATTACTATTTTTATCAGCTTTCACAACAATCAGGAACTCTGTTATTCCATTAATATCCCGTGGGTACCCATCTGCGATGGCGATTTGTTCCGCTTTTGTAAAGGTAAGGGGACTACTTGGATTTGGTCTGAAATATTATAGCTCTTTGATAATAACCTTGTTCAGTTCAGTTTAATTATCAATATAAACTGTTTTTATTTGAATTTATTTTATTGAAAAAATGAACTACTGAATAGTCATTTCAAACTTGATAAATTCTATGCAGAAATGTCTTTAAAATTATTCACATTTTAGTTGTATTCACATTTTAATCGCTCTAATTACAGGTGAAGAACATGCAGCAAAATGGTAGAAATACGATGTTCAGTAGATGTTACAATGTGTGAAATACTGATAGCCATACTTACTGGTAAGACGACTGGCTACTACAACATTGTCGAAGTTTATCATTGTTCGTATTGCAGTAACTATTGATTCCTTCTGCCACTTTGGTAGTAAATTCTGCTCGTACATTTGTTGTAAACTTTAAAAAAATTATATAACTAAGATGTTTTTTAAGGAAAAATAGTGTATTTTTAAATGTTCTGACTGAGTACAGAAAATCGGAAACCATTTCAGCTAAATGATTCATTTATTATAACACTTCACATCTTACCATTGCCACAGTCATTCCCGAGTACCGCACTAAAACGCCATATTCCTTCTCAACTTGATTTGCTAATTAAAAATAAACAAGGATTTTGAACACAATATTTTCATTTCTTTGTAAACAAAAAAATTATTGATTTTATGCTGTTAAGCATCCCTTTCGAGAATTGTTCACTCATATGGAGACGCTAACACTTGCCGGTGGAGAGCTGCAAATTTTGTACTACGCTTGGCAATCAGAGCCACTCAGTAGTAAGAGATCTTTTTTCGTGTCAGCACCTATTGCAACACGGGATCTCAATTTTTACGGACTCAACTGAAGGACCGGTTTCCAAGTCTCACAGTGGGGTCCGAACCCAAGACATAGAATTACTTCATGACTCTAGAGCAGACCCTCTAACCACTGAGCCATGCAGGCAACTGTCAACAAAGAAGAAGGGAATGAAATATTCTGAAAATACAATTAATCTTAAGATGCTCACGTGGACAGATATTGGTATTACAGCTTTGTGCTTCGGTTGTCTCTCCTGTGCAAGGTGCCCCTGCCCCTTCTTGGGTAGGGTTATTACAGGACCGTGTTCTGGTCTGGGTCCCATTCCCACAGGTCAAGGAACATGCTCCCCATGCCGACCAGTCCGACAGTCCGCCATTGCGATCTTAAAAAAATAAAAGATTATATCTTACTGTCAAATTGTTAATAACTTTTGCATGTATATACATGTATTTCATGTAAATTGGTTTAATTCCACGGTAAAATTTCATTAAAAAGTACCATTTGCGATGGTTTTAATTTCACGATAATTTTTCCTATAGCAATTTTACATTATTAAAAACTAAAACTAACATTCACGATGGATTTAATTTCACGGAAAATTAATAAATCGCGAACATAGCGAAATTAAAACCACCGTGAATATTTCCCAATCTACAGTATTATCGATAATTTTTGCATGCAGGAAAAATTAATCTCATTTTCTAGCTTCTGAATCATATATACCTTGACACACATTATTGGGGCCCAGTATATAACCATTTATACAGGAGCAGGTGTAGGACCCCACCGTGTTGGTACAGGCACTGTTGGTGGCATAGCACGGCGAGTTACTGCATTCATCAACATCTATAAAACGTATATAAAAAATATGAGAAATACATGAGAATAAAATATTTGTAAAAATGTGAAAATATACCAAATATAATTAGAAGTCCAATTAAATTACAGTTGTTTTTATGACGTCATAATACCTACCATTACATGTAGTCCCGTCAGCGGCCAGTTGGTAGCCTGGATTACATGAGCAGGTGTCGGTACCGTTTACTTTTGCACACTGATCATTGTCACATGTGGCTTTCTTTGATGGTTCACACTCTGCCTCCACTAAGAATATAATATTTTTCATGACAATGTTTATTTTTACTTAGACAAATTAGGGAAGAAAGTTCCCGTATTTACAAATTTTGAATTCTTTAGTCAAATTTAACAATTTGACAATTCAAAATCTAGATATATCTAAGGATCAAGTCTTGTTATAATCATACAATATGGGACAACATTATAATTGGAGTACATTTAAAAATGACGCGTTTTTATTTTTACAATTAGTCTATTGGCAGACAATTCTATTAACAATTTCAATCAGACACAAATTAACACTTATCAGCGATCATTTTAACAACATACCCTATCTTGAATTTACCGGAATGAAACTCTTGAGGATATTCAGAGAAGTCATTGCCTAGACTACTAACCGACACAGTTCCTTTGATCAGCATCTAGTCTATACCCTATTTGACATGTGCACTCATATCCACCAGCTTTATTTACACAATTTTGTTGGCAACCATGGTTTCCAGAGCATTCATCCACATCTGAAAAGGGATAAGCAAATAAAAATGCACTCTCTTTTTTGTGCCTTCAGCAATTAATGTGGCACACCTTTTCTACAACTCCCTGTGTATTTTTGCGTACCTTTTCCTAATGATTGATCATGTCAAGAAAAAAACTTTTTATTCTTGAATATATATATACTTAAAGTTGTAAACAAATATGATGACTGTGAGTAAACAGTAATTAAATTCAAAAATTTTAAAATTCCTGAAAACTGATTGAATGGTTAGAGTTAAAGGGGATTAGAATAGATGCTTATGGACATCTATATGGAATTAGGCTTGCATTGCTACGCAAGGTAACTATCCTTTTATCAATTGATAAATTAAAGAAATCATGATCCTCATGCATTGAATAATAAGCTTCAACCTGATGTCTTAAATCTTACAAATTGATGAGAACTGATCTTTAATATAATCACAAGAATGCATTTACTGTATGACGTCATGATGTAACGAAGAATATTTTAATGAAGACTTTTATTTAACCCCCTTCCCCGAAGTTAAGCATTTTAAAAGTACATTTAATCTTCAATTTAATACTAATTTCCTTCTATTTTATACTTATTAAAATCTTATAAAAGTAAGAAAAGTTATTTTCGTATTAAAATATTACGTCATAATATTATATTATGCTAAACTTTAAAGAAACTTGTATCGGACTATCAAGTGCTTACGGGGAAAAGTAACGTGAAATTTCCATGACATGAACATTAAATATGTTGCATACCAGTTCAGTAAGTTGTTTAGAGTTAATGGTTGATACTGTATACAGGGAAATTTTCGCACCGTTTTATTTTCGCCCCTTTCTTCCTCTTCATGATTGGGCGAATTCAAATAATACAGTATTATTTCTTAAACAGAACTGTGAATGGGCGAATTCAAAACGGGGCAGAATTGTTCGAAAGTACAAAAGGGTGAAAATAACCCTGTATACAGTAGTCATGCAAACTCTCAGGCTATTATTCTTTTTTCCTTTTTTCCGTTTTGTTCATACGTGTACATTATTTATTCTTTACCATTATTAAAAATGGATGAATATTGAAAGTTTGTAACAAACAAGAGGCTGAAAATGATTAAAAGCGTACCACTAAAACCATAAGGGCATTTAAAATTTCAACATAGAAACTCGATTCATAAATCTATATGTCATAAATTTGTCCTGTCACATTTTCTCTTTGCAATGAATCATTTTAACACAACAAAAACACTTCAAAAATAAAATAATCCTCATTTTTTATCATTCTCACCATTGCATGTCCTGCCATCACTGGCCAAAATGTATCCATCACTGCAATTGCAGATATAAGATCCAACAGTATTAGTACACGTTCTCCTCTCTGGCCGGCTGTCACAATTATGTGTGTTTTCAGCGCATTCGTCCACATCTAAATGATAACAGTCCAGTACAATAAAAAGTATACGAACTGTATGACCAGTTTTATGTTAAATTGATAAATTGGATCTCATTTTGCTGAGCCAACGCTAATCTGAACCAAGGCCTTGATTCTTAACTGTTTCACAATCTACGTTTCATAATTACAAATAATAACATAGTTTTTGATAATTTTTAGTTAAAGAAAGAAAACAGGATTAATTCTGTCTTTTTTGAACATTTAAATAAAGTTTTGAGGACATATTGTACTCACCAGTGCACGTCCTTCCGTCCCCGGAGTAACCCGGCTTACAGGTGCACGTGTACGCCCCGGGTGTGTTGGTACACGTGGCTAACGTGTTGTTACAGTCATTATCACTGGAGCTTGCACATTCATCAATGTCTGAAATGAGAGGTAACAATTAGTTCTGTAAACAATATAAAAGTAATACTTGTTTTTACAACGTTTGAATAAACTTTGCAGTTAGATTCTCATAAGTAATGACTGGGAATCATTTTCAAAAATACAATGCTTTTGCTGTATATAGCGAAACTTGAATTTACTACTCTTAAGTAAAACAAATTTGTCCTTTAATGAGTCCAAAACAGAATTAAGATTTTCATACTATTTAAATTTCAATCTTTGACCACAATTCTTATATATCATATTTTTCTGATAAACGCATGTTTTGAAGAAATAATAATTCGAAGAAAAAAAATACATAAAAAAATGTCAATGTGATATTTAAATATACTTTTATTCGCGTGCGAGAAATATTCGCGAGTTTCGCGACCTACTTTCAGTCGCGAAGATAAATCGTGGCGAACCATTTATTTCCTTTTTCGTGAAAATTAACTGTCGCAGATTGATTTCAAACCGACGAATCGCGAATAAAAGATGACACAAATAGTAGCTGGTTTACAGTAGCTTTTGGCTAAAAAGCCTTTTCCTGCAACCTAAATCCCGGAAGCTCTGGAAATGGCTTTGTTTGCTACTCACTATAATAATTGACATATTTTATAAAAAGAGAAATACATGTAAGATTAAACATGTTAAAGAAACGACATTTTAAAGCTACATAGATTTTACTAAAGTTAGGAACCAGAAAACAAAAATTTATGTATACGCATTTGCTCTACAAATTTAAAAAAAAAAAGCTTATAGAGATTTTCTACAGAACAGCTTTACTTACCTAAACATGTAGCGCCAACCATACTGTAACCTTGAACACAATTGCATTCAAAGCCAGGATCAAGGTTTCTACATTGTGAGTTCGAAGGACAGTTAGCAGTTCCTTGTAAACATTCGTCCTTATCTGTAAAAATAACCAGTCAAAAGATCATATTGTTTGATATATTTCTGCAAGACAAAGTGTCAACTTTCATAAGCTATACGTATTTGTCAAAACATATCTACTGAATGACTTACCCACACAAATTGTTTCCTGTGATTTGACGTATGAGCTATTTACACAGTTACATACGTGTGATCCTACGGTGTTGGAACATACCACATTGTTGCTTGCCTCACACCGATGTAAAGTTGCATTTGCACACTCATCAATGTCTTTAAAACAGGAGAAAATTATAACTTTCAATGATGTGTAACTCATAAAAGTTTGCAAATTAATATAATTTTAATCAAGTATCAATTTAATGAGTATAAAAGCCAAAATATTTTTCAAAGGGATATCGTTTTGGGAAGACACGTCATCAGTCTGAATGAAGAAACAAAAGCATTTTACTAAATTAAGTTCTGTATGAAATAAACTAGTTCGTATTTTGCTACAAGGATCTTTACTTATATTGTCTTCATAACTTTTCTTCAAATATCCAGTTTAATACTGACCAATCGAATGCCTTAAAGCAAAATTTCATACCCACCTTCACAGTTTTTTCCGCTGCTATCTAACTGGTATCCTGCAGGACAGGAACAGGTATCTTGATCATTGACTTTCCCACACGTGTAATTGCAGCCATGGTTAGTGTCACATTTGAAAATGGCTGAAAATAATCATTATTTCTTAATTAACTCTAAAACTTATATTAATTTTCACCAGTCCTAAATTGTAACAAAGTTTGTCAAAACATTAATTATTTGTTTAATTTTTAGACATTAAGAACTTACATTCACAAGTTTTGCCGTCGCCTTTCAGTCGAAAGTTTTGAGGACAGGAGCATGTGTAACTTCCGTCAGTGTTTGTACAGTGGCTATTGTCATAGCAACCATTGGCAGCAGAATCCGAGCACTCATCTATATCTGTCCAGATAAATCACTTCAAATTATTAATTGGCAGTGTACCAGCCAGGAAAAAAATCTGAACAGTCCTATATTAATTTCGAAAAAGGATAAATCATTTTAAATTCTTAATTAACATGCAGTGTTCCAGCTAGGAAAAATCTGAACAGTCCTATATTAACTTCGAAGAATGGAAAAGAAACCATACGGAAAATAATAATTTTATCTTTAGTTCTATCTCTCCGTAGTTGAATGACAGATTTTATTTCCCAGATATTACTGTTATTCTAATTAAAGACAATATCATACATGGAAATGAAAATTAAGGTTGCAATTGATGGTGAAACATATTGCACAGCAGGTTTCAGATTGAACAGTTTTCACTATACTTACAATACCTCCTCTCTAAACCAATGAGAAGGGAATGTATTTGCAAACCCTTTCTTTAAGGAAATCATTTCCCCTTGTTATTATCCTATTTCTATGTGTACGTACCATCACAGGTATATCCGTCAGCATTCAATGTATATCCATTTAAACAGGAGCAAGAGTAACTTCCAACGTTGTTGGTGCAGGTTTGTTTGCAATTACTAGAGCCGCCAGGAGCACACTCGTTTATATCTTAAATTATCAAATAATTTTATAATAATTTTTACTTTCAAACCATCAAAACAATCACTTGAAACAAATGCCTCTATATTCTACTCAACACTTCTGAAAATATTGTCAAAGTTGTATTGGTGCTATTACAATGAATTTCTTTTTTGGAGTAAAACATATAAAGATATATTTAAGATGACCACCGGGCTATTTTTATTCCATAAATAATGTTCACCTTCCTTTGCAACATGTATTTTATAAGCACAAAGTCAAAAGGACTTAATTAGGTTTTTTAATGGAATAATATAAAAGCGGCATTGAAAGTGGAAAAAATGTCATTTATTCAAGTAAATGACGAAGAGCAAACAGTACACATCATTAGGGGTCCGAAAAGACTCGCAAAACTTCTACGGAATATATTAAATCTGAAGTCTCATATTATGCAATCAATTTATAAATCAGGCACTGATATAGGTACCACCAAAAAGGTTGGGATTAAACAAAATACTAGTAAACGATTACATGTGGACACTATCTTTTGTGTAAAAAGAGGAAAAGTAAAAGGCTACATAAACATAGAAATACCAGCATTTTTGTACAGCTTATTAGGGAAAGGCATATATATATACTGATACAAAAACTTGAGATTTACCTATAAAATATGAATTAAATACTGAAAGGAAAAAGAAACGCATATTTTACTTTTTGATACCCTATTCACATGAAATGAAGACACGAGTTAAATACGTTTGTAGCTGTTCTATTGTGTATCGACTCAGTGTTCATGAATGGAAAATTAGTGGGATGAGGTTGATAGACGAGTACGACAGCGTCAAAACCCTCCGAAAAACACCGAGGAACTTGTGCAAGCAGTGACAGACGAGTGGAATAACATCCCAATAAGAACGGTTTACAGACTCATAAACTCCATGCACAGAAGAGTCCGTGCAGCAATTGCAGCACGCGGTGGGCATAGTCGGTATTAATTACTGGATTCTGGATTGCATTGCTGATTTACATTGTTTATACGAGGGTTGTCCGGTGAAATTGTGGACAAAGCGTTTTTCCCGAAAAATAATGGACGCATAAAGCAGAATTTTAAAGTAAATATTTATTTATCATAAACTGCATCATATTTTTTTAATAAGATGTAGATAAAAATAAAAGATTTTATAATGCTTGAATATGCATAGGGTAGGGTCCTACGGTGCACGGTCAAAAAACCAAGGTTTTATCAGAGACTACACAAATATTGAATCAAAAAGAAAGTTTTAAATACATAAGAATGGGGTAAAAATTATCCTAATTCGATTCTACAATCTATTTTGTCGTCCTTCTGAAGATTTCAAGGCATTTGGTTAATTTTTGGCAGTTTCCCGAAAATTCGAAATAGGAAAGTGGTAAACACAACACACAAAAATGGCGACATTTGATGACGTACATAATATGTAACGGAGTTTTCTTAGCGAAGTTTTTTTTTTGATCGAGTCCACATAGGACAAACTGCCATTTGTAATATGGAGGGTAATCGTGTTCAAAAATCCAGACTTGTAAGTTTGTAAATGCAATCTTGTAAGTTTGTAAATCCGAACTTGCAATTATAAACTTTCATAGTATACATATGTAAGTAGGTAATTCAGACATCCAAGCATGTAGTTCTGAAAATACAACTGTGTTGACTTTAAGTTCAAATTATGAATGTGTGTATGTTTGATGTTGTAAACTTTGTTTTCCGGAATTTATATTTCCGCGCTCTGAATAAAACACAAAGACAATTCACAACTCTACAAATGTAAAGTCTACAATCATGTTTGTCGAATTTTGATTGCAAGAAACTATGGAGGGGTGTCGGTGCCATAATTTCTTTTTAATATACTTATTTCATTTTTTATATATTATTATTATAACTTTTTTCCAAATTAAATAAATTCCAACGACTTCATTATTTTTCTTTTTTAGTTTTAACTTCTTGTTAATATTTTCCAAGATTCGGGGAGGGGGATGTGCCTTGTCCCCAATAATTTTGCCGATATATAGAATATTATAGAAAACATAGCTAATATATGTTTGTGTCCCCTCAATAAAAAAGTCTGATGACTTCTATTTAATGGGAGGGGACTTAGTAGATAGTGTCCCCCAACTGAAAATGTATGGCTTTGGCACCCCTCCAACTGAAGTTGCTTCCTACAGACCTATTCTTTATTTTTATTTTATTATTATTATTTTTTTTTTGCTTCCTTTCGTATTTTCATTTTATCTGATATTTTAAATTATGTTTCACTATTCCTAACTTATTACTTTTTTGGGTAAAACTATAAGAAGAATCGAAAGTTTTAATAAGAGAATAGAACTACAGTGCGCAACAGAATTAAATTAAGGAACCCGAATGAAAATTAAACGAAAAGAAGCGTGTCCGCCTTAATTACTTGTTCACAGAGATCTTGCGCGAACAGTCTACGACATGTACTATGTAGATATATTTTCCTAGAACATGAATTTTGTTTTATTATTTTTTTAAAAAACCACATGATTTCATTTTTCTGTGTTTTCTCTCCTTTTCAGGCCCGTTGGTAGCAATTTCATGGGGGTTTGGGGTGGGCACAAAACAAAAATTTCTCGACCCTTCAAAGGCATTACTGTTCAGGGAATATAACAATGAATTAGCCTTGATTTCTTTTCTTATCAATATACTGACAATTGGGCACAACTGGAAATTACTTTCGTTTACATGTAGTTGGAATAGAATGCACTGGCTCTCCACCCCCCTGCCCGGCCCGGGACCATGAAACTTAAATAAGCTCATTTTTTATTTCAGTCTCTCTATTATTAATTCCTGTAGTAAACCAAGTTTGGGACGTGGCACGAAAAAGATCTCTCCCTGCTCAATGGCCGTAAGTGCAGAGCATAGGACAAAATTTGCAGCTCTCCACTGGCAATTGGTGGCGTCTCCATATGAGTAAAAATTCTCGTGAGGGACGTTAAACAACAATCAATCCTTTGGTGAAAGTAAGATTGTGATCAACAGTGAGTTCGTCTAAGTTTAATGGCCTTGGTGCATGATGTTTCAAATATGATAAATATGGCCCCCATTCCTGATTGCATGCTTAAATTGTATACAAATATCAGCTATATTTCAGTTTATATTGATATAGCATGATATTAAATATTAGGATTGAGAATTTTTTTTTCACTTCAACAAGTCTTAGGACCGAAGTAGAAGAGGGGGCGAAATCTTGGGTTCTCCACTTTTTGTGTGGAAAATAATCATGAGCAGATGTCTTGATATAAAATGCATCTATAGGCTGCATCCCCCTCCTAAACACACTTTTTCTTTCATATTCACCAACTTCTGGCTAATTCTTGCGTTGAAAAAAGTTTCTGAAAATAGTTATAATGAAAGATTCAAAACATCGCTTTTACAGAGGAAGTTTTGCATGTACCATTTTATTTATTTAATATTTGTTTGTCATTTCTTTTTTGGGGACCCCCCCCCCCCTTCCCCCGAGGAATATTGATACGTAACTATATCTACTGAATGTTTTTTAAATATGATATTATTGCAGATCTTAATATACTGGGGCACTGATCATAGTAGCCCATAGTGGTTGGGCGTTAGCCTCGTAAGTACCATGGGATGTTCAGAGTTGGATTGTCTTAAGTATCAACTAAACCCTATCCTCCACACCTCCCCAAAATAAAAAAGTCAGTAGACTTTTTAAAATGAGGGGGCACAAGCATATAATAACTATATTTTCTATAGTATTCTATATATATGTATATCGGCAACTCCCCCCCCCCCCGGCCCCAGACCCTACGGCCATGAAGAAAAATAAAATATAAACAAGAAGTAAGAATTAAAATAAGAAATAAAAAATGAAGTCGTTAGAATTTACATGTATTTAATTTGGGAAACAAGAAGTTATAAAAAAAAATAAAAAAAAAGTATTAACAAATTGTGGCACTGATAGTCCTCCATAGTTTCTCGTAATCAAAATTCGACAAACATGTAGACTTTACATTTGTAGAGTTGTGAATTAACTTTGTGTTTTATTCGGAGCGCGGAAATATAAATTCCGGAAAACAAAGTTTAAAACATCAAGATACACACATTCATAACTTGATCATAAAGTCAACACAGTTGCATTTTCAGTAAGTACCATGGGATGTTCAGAGTTGGATTGTTTTAAGTATCAACTAAACCCTATCCTCCACACCTCCCCAAAATAAAAAAGTCAGTAGACTTTTTAAAATGAGGGGGCACAAGCATATAATAACTATATTTTCTATAGTATTCTATATATATGTATATCGGCAACTCCCCCCCCCCCCCCCGGCCCCAGACCCTACGGCCATGAAGGAAATAAAATATAAACAAGAAGTAAGAATTAAAATAGGAAATAAAAAATGAAGTCGTTAGAATTTACATGTATTTAATTTGGAAAACAAGAAGTTATAATAAAAATAAAAAAAGTATTAACAAATTGTGGCACTGATAGTCCTCCATAGTTTCTCGTAATCAAAATTCGACAAACATGTAGACTTTACATTTGTAGAGTTGTGAATTAACTTTGTGTTTTATTCGGAGCGCGGAAATATATATTCCGGAAAACAAAGTTTAAAACATCAAGATACACACATTCATAACTTGATCATAAAGTCAACACAGTTGCATTTTCAGAACTACATGCTTGAATGTGTGAATTACCTTCTTACATATATGTATACTATGAAACTGATACTATTTTACAAGTTTGTATTTACAATCTTACAAGACTGCATTTACAAATTTACAAGTCTGGATTTTTGAACACGATTACCCTCCATATTGTAATAGCAAAAGACGCTGTCACTATCGAATGTCTATTAGTTGCTGAATGATGATGCGAATATGACCCTAAAGGCCCTGTCACACCAAGCTGCGTTCACACGGAGTCATTACGGCGTTGTTAAATTTTTAAAATCGCCGTGGAATCGCAGGAAAATTGCACAACTTTCTGTAAAATTTTCACAATATGAAGATGTCACGGAGTCCCTACGGCGAAGGACGCGATTCTACGGCGATCTCACGGCGTTCTACTGCGTTCCCACGGAGATCTCTCGGCGACTGACTGCACTTCCGCGGAGTTTTCACAGCGCGTTAGGAGTTTTCACCTCGTGTTCACGACGCTGGCTGCGTTCACAATACGTTCACAATGCGTTCTATACTCATTGATATATATTCAGAAGGAATGTAAAATATTTTTGTTTAAAGATTCAAGTTACACGATGAAAAGACTTCTAATTATGCCAAGAAATATTCTTAATAATTAAAAATGTTCTATTTAAATACTTTAGTACTAAATTATTAATAGTTTTATGATTAAACTCCTTTTTTTTTCAATTTTATCAGTTCAGATGTGTTGTCAGACTTTCTTTGATTTTATTATGAATGTAAAAAAAAAAATAAACACAATGAGAAGTTTTCTACAAAATCTAAGTGAAACAACAGAACAAGTTCTGGTGTAACTTTCTCTTCCAATTTTTTTTTTTCACTTAAATGCTCCAATTGCAACAAATACGTTGGAATTATTGCTGATCAAATATGATCCCATTGCTCTTGTTTAGTGAGCTGGCTGACAACGCTCTAACAACGTCGTGAAAGCGCATTGTGATCGCCAACGGACGCTGTAGAAACGCCATGATGGGAGCGCATTGATCGCAGTGACAACTCCGTGCTGTCGCCGTGTAATCGCAGTCGAAAAAATCACAAGACGATAAATCTCATTAGAAGCGCCGTAAAAACGCGATAGAAACGCAGTGACATCTCCAAGGACTCCGCGACATCTCCGTGAGGTCTCCGTGGAAGCGCAGTCTACTATTACTGCGTTCGTGCCGCGATCATGTGCGTCTTCAAGGCGTTCGTACGGAGCTCCCACTACGTTACTGGAGATCTCACCGTGCTGCTATGGCGATCATACTACGTTTCTACTGCGTTCTTATCAGACTGCGATCACACGGCGCGTACTTTGTGCATGCCCAAAGTGATCGCCGTCCCCTGGCGTTCTAGGAGACCCTACGCGACCCTACGGCGTTCAGTGGAGATCTTGCCGCGTTGTCACGGCGCTGTAGGAGACTCTACAGTGATCTCGACGATTTGCATTTTTTGAGGACACCGTGCAGTCGCCGTGAGGACGCAGTCCCGGTGTGACAGGGGTTTAACTTACTAGATGGCATGTGTGTGCCAGCTGTTTATGGAGACTCAAAAAACTCTAAAATTTAGGTGGGACTTATCCAACTTTATTTTTAGCAAAGATGAAATGTGACGCTGTTATAAACACTTTGACGTTATCATTAGTGCGCCGTAAGGGACACAATACATAACATAAAACCTCATAGTTTGTTTATTATACCCCCCGCTTGAAAAGCGGGAGGGTATATAGTGATCGGGATTTCCGTCCGTCCGTCTGTCCGTCCGTCCGTCCGTCTGTACGTCCGTCCGTCCGTCCGTCTGTTACGCTTTTTCTCTTATCCGCAACTCCTCTTATACTACTGAGTGAAATTAAATGAAACTTTCACAGAATCTTTATTACATATTGCCATTGTGCACCTCCTATTTTACTTTTTTATTCGACACGTATTTTAGTTTTCTCAGAGCAAAACATTTTTTGTTTACCTATGACGTCACATAATAGAAGCTTCTGGATAACATTTCATAGGACGAGTTATTCCTCTTTACACATTACCGTAAAACAATATAAAGCAACACATCGACATTATGGGAGGCGGGGGGTATCATTTAGTGAGCTCATTGCTCACAGTACCTCTAGTTTATGCATATATATTATATCTATTTGAAATTTGTATATTCAAATAGTATGTACGTAAGAGAAGTGAAAACTTCACAATGCGGTGATGATTAATTTTCACAGTAGATAACTTGTCCACGATTTTACCGGACAACCCTCGTATGTCTATTTAACACTATATTTATTTTGTTGATCGTTCTTCGAATTTTGATTAAAATTTCTCTATTCACTTTTCTCGTTTCTTTTTCCTTTTGGTATAAACCTGTTTTAGATATAACTAAGAGGTATATAATTACGGTATACAACATACACATACCAGCACAGTTGTATCCATCGCCTACAAATCCCACGTTACAGCTACAGTCGTATCCCCCAGCTTTGTTGGTACAGCTTCCATGCACCTTATCACAGGCGTGAGTGGCCGCAGAGGTACATTCATCGATATCTTTAAATAAAAAGCAAACAATTGAACATCTTATGGAGAGGACTTATATAGACAGTGCCTGCTGTCTAATCCTGTTATGTTTATACATAATAAAATATTGTTTAAATTAAATTAATTGAACATCTGAATGATATACATTGTATATCTAATACTTTAATAAGTTTTAAAAGGCAGATACGTGATTGAAGCAGGAGATATAAATCAGAGTTTCAATGTTTCACGTTATTATTTATTTATGAAAAAAATAAGCAATCAACATTCTCTTATTATGAGGACTAGGGAGGCATTACTTATTCTAGTACACCATTTTACAACGAATTGTTGGGGAACATGAATGTGTGTACTATCGAAATACAATTACATGTATTTCTTATTATCCAAGATTTTCAAAACTTCAAAGTGAGGGCATTAAACTCAATGAATAATGTGCCTATGTTTTAAACTTTTCAAAAAACCTTCCGATCTCTAGAATTCATATGAATTTCTCATTTCAATTCTCGGAGATCTGTAATTCTTACCATCACAAGTACGACCATCCGCTCCTTTATTGTACCCTGAAGGACACTGGCAGGCAAATCCTCCGTCATTATTTTGACATGTGGCGGGTGGATCACAATCGTGGGTTCCATTTGTGCATTCATTAATATCTAAAAATAAAGATTCTCTCATCAAACAAAGATTCAAAACGTAGCTATAATGTCATTTCTTGTTCTTGCATGCAGTTTTAATAATATCTTTGGCTGGGCAGTATTAGTGTTCAGCCTGATATTCAGTGTTAAATCAGACTTTTTTGGAATGATATCCCCAAAATCAATTGTTATCCAAAAAATGGCGATAAATGAACAATTAAAACATTTAATCTTATATATAGTGCTAATTTTAATCAAATTGAAAGACGGAAAGTAACTGAATTTGAAGCAAAGTTTTTGTCTGCTTTTGAAAATTCCGATAATTCCTTACCTAGGCTAATCGTAATCAGAAGTTATTACATTGCAACATAAGTTAATTAGTAGATATGTCATTTGAATATTTGTTCAATGTTTTTATACCCCCCGCTTGAAAAGTGGGAGAGTATATAGTAATCGGGATTTCCGTCGTCCGTCCGTCCGTGTATTACACTTTATCTCTTATCCGCAACTCCTCTTATACTACTGAGTGAAATTTAATGAAACTTTCACAGAATCTTTATTACATATTGCCATTGTGCACCTCCTATTTTACTTTTTTATTCGACACGTATTTTAGGTTTCCCATAGCAAAACATGGACATTGCCATTATATGTTTACCTATGACGTCAGATATAGAAACTTCTAGATAACATTTGATAGGACGAGTTATTCCTCTTTACACATTACCGTAAAACAATATATAGCAACACATGGACATTATGGGAGGCGGGGGTATCATTTAGTGAGCTCATTGTTCACAGTACCTCTAGTAAATCCTAGTTTCATTTCAAATTTATCAATCGCAAATGGAATGTGTTATAAAGTTTTCTATTTTTCTGTTCTTTTTAATCTACATTCGAAATACCATTCAAAAGATTGTTTGTATGGTATCTTAATATGTACATGTATTAGGCCATATTTATGTCAGATTTTCGCATATTTTGAATAAGAAAATCTCCTAATTCTCCTTTCCAAACAATCTAATTACCCGGTATTTCAAATACGAGTAACAACATGGATGTAGCTTACTAAAAATACAGAGTAGTATAGTTCCAGACCGTGTTTTTGAAAGATTTCTAAATTTGTCTCTAATGCATTTTTGCTAGCCATGAGTTTTTGATCCATTGTGGAGCGAAGTGGACCGAAAAACCGTTGGCTAGCAAAGATGTCATTAGCACTTTTGTCCTATACATATGATGGGTAAATGAAAGGGCAGTTTTTCAAGAACTATATATGCCTCATATAATTCCCAGTGAAAAATTATCAGTTTTCAGTCTAAGAAAAGTGACTGAAATAGTCTGATTTCATTTTTTACAAATAATACAGAATATTGCCTGAGGCAAAGATCATATCATGCATTAAAACATTGCCTTTTATTTATTTTGAGAGTTTGATATTTCAGTAATAGATAAATGTGCCACTGACAGTGAAAGAAATTCTTTCAAGAATGCTGGAATACTTCTCTCTGTATAGAAACAACTACAGTGTCAAAGGTATTTGAAATAATAATAATAATAATAATAATAATAATAATATTTTGAAATTGAAACATAGAGTGTAAACAATGCAATAAATTATGATAAAAATAATTTAAAGAAGTTTTTTTGGAAATGAGAACAAATACGTAAAAGAGAATCTAAATTAAACTTAAATTCAATAGAACAAAGAAATCAAACAGATACTGAAGGTACACAAATTCAATTACCTCGAAGTAGAAACTCTTATAATTAAAAGGACAGGTAAGTCTCCTTTCTGTGGTTTTTACGTCTGATTATATACTTTTGAATTGGTATGGACATGTTTTAAAACATCCATAATATCATTGTATGTTGTTAAAGAAGCTTATTACAAGATCGGAAAGTACGGGAGGGAGACGGGTTTTTTTTTTTAACCTGGTCTGGTTGGTCTCATTTTATCCCTCTTAGACTCCGTTTACACGTAAAAGCTCCTATTGGAATTATTGTTTTTTCCTATTTTTGATGATGAATACTTTTATTTATTGATATTTTGTTTTACAGTAAGATGAAGATTAATCTTTGCTGTTTGCAAAATAATTACGTTAGAATTCCCCCTTTTTAATTTTTTAAAAAAAAATACATTTTTGTTTTGAGACAGTTCTATGACAGTCTGATATTTCACAAATTATATCAGAATGCTAACAATTATCCACCTACCACATATTCATTTTTAGCGTACAATATAACAAAGGAAAGGATTCTAACGATATATTAATTTACATGGATTCATTACATTTATTTATAAGATAGCAGTGTTTTTTTTTTTTAAATATCGATCAAATAATGCCTTCTTTAGTTGCATAACAGTAGCATTATGGTTTTATATTTTAGTCATTAACCCTAATGCTGCAGATCCGATAATGCATATATGGTGCCATTTACGGCGTAATAGAGATGTATTTCTCCACTCTATAGTGCATTGAAATGCTTCGTAAATTGCACAATATTTGCATTTTTGTGATCTGTAGCGTTATGGTCTAGAATGCTTACAGTTATAAGTCTAGAATATAAACCCATGCATAACGCTACAGTTTGGCAGCTATACCAACCTGTGCATGTATAGGCGTCCTGTCTAGTGTACCCTGTCTTACAATTGCATTGGAATCCCCCTTCATTATTCTGACAGGTGCTAGTTGCATCAACACAGGTGTCAGCATTGGTCGTACACTCATCGATGTCTAAAAAAGCAACTTGCTTCATATATCATAATTTCAGTCTTATAACATTGATGCCTAATGAAATCATTCTGATACGCAAGAAACATATTTAATAAGAAGCACATGAATAACAATGATGTTATCAGAGAAAGTCGTTTTTTCTTACGAAACTAACAACGAAATGGAAAGATAGATGGCTATGCAACACGTTTGGTCTTAGAATTAATTGTCAAATAACCGAGTTCAAGATTGTTTTATGTTAAAATAATTTAATTTTAGTTGTAACATGTCATTTGATTGGTTAAACGGTTTTATCCATTTTGTATAATATAACTTGCCTACGTCATAATTAGTTACGTCAAAAACGTATTATTCCGGTTGACGTTAACTTTAAAAATATGCGATATTTGAAGCCTTTTTTCGAAGGAAAAAATGAAAAAATTGTCTCATTGTCTACACTTGAAATTAAATTATAAATAATGAAGCCTATTTCAACTTATGTTAATACGATATAACATAACTTGGGGCAGTTTACGCTTTTTTATAAACCGCGAAGCGGTTTATAAAAAAAGCGTAAACTGCCCCAAGTTATGTTATATCGTATAACATAAGTTGAAATAAGCTTCATTCCTTAAATATATGATACTTTGGTATAATATTTTGATTAAACAATCTTAATGATTTACGTCTCATAGTGCAAAAAATCACTTATTCATTGCCAAAAAATCATTTAAAATTTCTTGCAAAATTCTTATATTTTGCTTTCAAAATATTGTGTAAAATTGCTTACTCCCTTCATCATTAGCGTATTGAAGAAAGAAATAACATAACATTAAAGGTACAATTAATTAACTTATTCGGACATATATTTCGTGTATTTTTCGTTGTAGGTTTACCTATGCAGTAATTGCTGCCATTCAGAGCAAAACCAGAAGGACAAACGCAGTACACTTGTGCGTTAGAGACTGCGCATGACGCTTTATCACTTCCGCCATCACAATTGTTTTTCTGTTCCTGTGAGCACTCAGTATCAGCTGTTGTTAAAATTTTAAAAATCGTAATATTAATGTTTAATTGTATTTACAACCACATTGAAAGATCTAAAACTAATCAAACTTGTTTGAGAACTGCAGTGAGTACATTTTATTAATTATAGATACTATTAATTATTCTTTAAGTTCGATACTTCTTCAAATTCCTTGTTCTAAAACTCTCATGAAATGAAATAAATTTCTTAAAATGCATTTCATCATTCATACTTTCTATTGTTGAAACAAAAAGTGAATTCATCCTATTACAAGATGAACTTCCTTAGTTTTAAAAACCGTACATTCAAATCATATTAAGGACAGATGATACAAACAAACTTTTATCAAAAAATTTGAATATAAGAACTTTAAATTAAATGAATAAAATGAATAACTTTCACCGCGTAGTTTTTAATTTTTTATTCAAATTTACACAAAAATGGCATTTAAAGTGAATAATATTTGTATACGAGGGTTGTCCCGTAAAATCGTAGACAAAGCGTTTTTCTCAGAAAAGTAATGGGCACACTAAGCTGAAAATTTCAGTAAATGTTTGTTACGGTTCCGTAATTATTCCCGTTACTATGAGTAACATTTTCTGTGGAAATACAGAGTACAAGTTAGACAAGAACTCCCTGCAATATACTGGACTACAAAGCGACAAATTATGTTTCGTTATTTGTATGTTTAATTCCATTAACAATTATATATTTACCAAGTACATAATTGGGACGAGGTCGGTAATTAGTGACACCCGAATTTCCTCGACGTCTTTAATTCCCAGGTCATGCTTGTACTGTTTAAGATTGTTTTGTTTAGGCTTACAAAGTTCATCATCGATAAATATTATCAATGTTTCCCGCAGTAATTATCCGCGCCCTAGGGTGCGTGTTTCCTTTCGTCGGTTCGATCGGCATGGCAGCATATCAACTAACAAACATGGCGGGTATTTTCGCTTTGTCGTGACGTCACGACAATCGAGCCCGATGCCAATATAAGCCAGCGCAAATCGACTGACAGTCAGAATAGGTTGAGACTAGGTAGAGAATAGGTTAGTACGACTGCCAGAATCATATCGCCAGCATGGCTGGGAGAGATAGTCGTTGGGTAATTGTCATTACATAATTTATTAATTAATTTTTGGGAGCTGATGAATTTTGTAACATATTTTATTAAATTACTTTTTACTATTTATATTGAATTAGCCTGTGGTAGAAAATTAGTGGGAGGTAAAATAACTCTCCCATAACTATACCTGACTATAATTGTATTGTAAAGAACTCCCAATATTTTGGGAAAAGACAAATACTTTTATAAATTTATATTAATAATTCCCTAAAACTTATTTCTCCCATTTAAGAATATTTTATTCCCATTCTGGGAGAGAAATAATATTTCTACGGGAGTAAGAAATAGGGATAATTATTCAAAGAGATCCTGCAAATTAAATACAACAAGCATTAATAAATTTTTATAAACTTTAATCCTGACTCATAGTTCTTTGTCCAATATACAGAATTGGGAGACCCACAAGTTGTCTCATGTTTATTTATCATATTTAAGTGCATGATATTTTTTTTTTAATAAAATATAGGCAAAAATAAAGATTTTGTTATGCTTGAATGTGCACGAGGTATTGTTCTACGGCGGTCAAAAAACCAAGGTTTCATTAAAGAATGCACAAGTTTGAATTCAAAATAAAAGTTTTAAATACATAAGATTTGGATTAAAATTATCCTAATTCAATTCCACAATCAATTTTGTAGTCTTTGTAAAAATTTTAAGGCATTTGGTAAATTTTTGGCAGTTTCTCGAGCATTCGAAATGGGAAAGTGGTAAACAAAATACACGAAAAATGGCGACGTTTTATGACGTTACGGCGCACCGGAGAACAGTTCCGTTTTATTTCGATGTTGTAATGACACCTTTAGAGACTTGAAATACCATAGAAGAAAAAAGATTATAAAAATATTTAAGTCACCATATCTTAAGTATAAAAATGAAATAAGAGTTTTCTTCGCGAAGTTTTTTTTTGATCGAGTCCCTGGGGAGTACAAAACATAAGGAAACTCCTAATGTAATAGCAAAAGACGCCGTCACAGTAGACCGCCGATATGAGATTTTCTATTAGTTGAATTATGGTGAGAATATTGTCCGTAACTTACTAATAAATCTTCAGAAGATCGCATGAGGGTGCCAATTGGTTCTTCGATTGTTTATGGAGACTAAAGAATGTGTATCAATGAAATTCCTAAATTTAAGTCGGACTCATCCAACTTCATTTTCAGCAAAGATAAAACGTGACACTGTTTTAGACACATTGACGTTATAATCCTTGCGCCGTAAGGTGATACAATACATGGCATAAAATCTCATAATTTGTTTATTTATGCATATATTTATCTGAAATTTACTGTGTATATTACTAAAATATGTACTAAATAATAGTGAAAATTTCAGAACGCAGTGATGTTTATTTTTTACGCTAGACAACTTGTCCACGATTTTACGGGACAACCCTCGTAGATTAATAAGGATGGTTTCAGAAGGGCAGACTTCTGAACATCACAGCAGGTTTACAATTTCTTTATATTGTAGAAATTTATTATTTGCATCATTTGCAATGAAATTAGGCCAAAAAATATATACCAATCCAGGCATTTATTTTTTGTTTGTATCATCGGTCCTTAAAGGTAACGAAACTACATGGTACTATCGCCTCATATTCAAAGGAGACATTTTTAAGGTATTTTTTAGCTGCAGTGATATATAAACATACGTATACAGCTGACTTTGTCGGTTGTGTTCAGTTTATATCCCGTGTTACAATCACATGTGTACGTTCCTATTCCATCCACACATTTCTGAGCACAATTGTTGGAGCCTGCGCATTCGTCCACATCTAGAAGTTGGGAATAAAGAAGTGTGAAATATGATTTATAATTGAATATAATTCATAGGCATTATCTTTGTTGAATCAATTTGCTGTTGACTGTATATTTGTCTCTTACCCTCACAGGTATTTGTCTGGGTATTTTTGCGGTATCCATGGTTACAGACACATGTGTAACTTCCGACATTGTTCCTACACTGGGAATTAGCAGGGCACTGGATGGAAGAATCGGAACATTCGTCTATGTCTAAGAAAGAACAGTGAACATTTTCAAACCATTACACACATGCAGACTGGTAAGCGTTTGATTGATCAACACACTTTTAAAAAGATTGCAAATTTTGTTCAGTATTAATTCTATTAATTAATATGCAATACATAGGAATAGTCCCTAGATATATATTTTTTTTCTTTTTTAAAAAGGTATTACCAAGAAATTTCTATTAACATGAAATGGTCAGACACATACTGTATCCTTACATTAGGTAAAAGATGAATGCATCCTTTTGACAGACTTGCATATTCAAAAGCATACAAACTTACCTGTACAAGCATAAGTTGTTTCCCTTGTGTACCCTGTTTTACAAGGACAGGTGTACCCGCCGACGTCGTTGAGACAGGTTGTTGTTGCATCATCACACTGGTCAGCATTTGTCAAACACTCATCCTTGTCTGCGAACATACAATGGATATGACTCAAATATCATTATTATATCAATATACAAATATGAAATGTGAAGAATGCAAACGGTCATCATGTTAAAAATCAATGATGCGCAGACTGTGATCAGTACAAAAAGGGGCATTTGAAAAGATCAGAGAGAGGAGATCGGGAAAACCTTCCCTTTGAAATGTTCTCAATAATCAATAATTATCAATACTAAACATTTAGATGTAAACTAGGGGATCTTTAATTTGCATCATTTAGTTCAGTACAATACGTAAAAACCATGTGAGCAAATAAACAACTCCTCGCTGCCTAATAGTATCATGGACTGAAAAGATGATTTCAAAGATTTTCAGGTACTACTAAATTCTTTCTCACCAGAGCAGCTTTTGGCATCTCCACCTAGCACATAGCCATCAGCACAGGAACAGGTAAATCCAAATGGGATGTTAGTGCAGTTATGAGCACATGGCGGAGGATTGTTTTTAACACATTCATCCTTATCTACAAATTAACGAAGAAAAAATATTTCTACAATTCGCAATATATTTGTACAATGTTTAAAGGCTTTAACGTTTAAAACAAGCTTCCCCCGTTTCCCATTAAATTTTCAGTAAAGTTATCATTGATGATAATTGTCTATCAAGTTACCCTTCTTCTTTTTCAGAATCATATGAATAAAAGGACTAAAACGAAGAGATAAAAAAGCGAATTTTACTTCCATGGGCTATAAAAACATACCTTGCAACATAGTAAGTTTCTTCTCCAAAAAAAAAATAATGTTAAAATTGTTTTTGTATATTTTAATTTTTTTTCCACATTCCATGTTGGTGTTCGAAAATATTTTTCATCATCACCTGTGCATGTTATTCCATTCCCGTCAAGGTGAGTCGGGCACGGTCCACACGTGTAACCAGCGGGAGTGGTGCTGAGATCCCTCGCCAAGACATCGGTACAGTCCACCCCCGGCCAGCAGGGGCTATCTGCACACCCATCCTCGTCATTCTCACAAAACTTTCCGTCGTATCCAGTCAGGCAGACACAAGGGACGACAACAAACTGATTACTACTGCTAACACTGAAGTCACACCGGCCACCGTTCTGAAAGGGTGTTTGGATGAAATACGTTCAAACATTGTCTGCTGTTATAATTAAGTTGATTAACTGTGAAGCTGTTGATATTCATTAAATTGATCTGCTGAAACATGTGAAACTCAATGTACTGATTTTGAGCATCAGATCAGCCGAATGTCAAAAGACAAAAGAGAATAATAAATATAGCTGACCCTTTTCCATCAACATTTTTTATCTTTTTTTCAGATTTGAAATATTTAGTCAATCATTAACCTTTAACATTACCTGACATTTACAAAGCTCTATTTTTGGCGTCCAGAATGACTGCGCCTTGCCATCAGAGACAGTGATCTGAATCACCGAACTGTTAATGTCAGCAATATTTGACCAGGTCAGGATTTTGGTAGAGTTGTCTACCGTCAATCCAGAGGGCGCGTCGTCATTTACCAGGAAGTAAATGGTGTCGCCCGTGTTCTTATCTGTGGCGTCAAGTTGAAACGTAAATGTCTGTCCGACAGACACTTCAAATGTAACATTTCCGTTATTTATTTCTGGTGGGTAATTAGCTGTGAACAAAAATCCATTACATTATTTGACCTTCATTATATATGCTGCAGTTTTTAATATAATTGATTTATATTAATATGAAATTAGATCCGCTTATTAATGCACAATAATTACCCATGGACATTTTAAGGGATGGTTAAATCTATTGCAACAAAAATTCCTATATTTAGTTTTCCTGCATATATGGTCCACCCTAGTAAATTCAAATTTCATAAAATATGTTTCATAACTATTACCTAGCGTGGATTTTGTTTCCTCTAGCGCATTCTTTGTTTCAGAAGTAGAAGAAGCTAAAGCAGCATTCTCTGTAACTTTAAAATCAAAGTAACATTCCCGCCGAAGTTCTGGGTTGTCGTCTGTTGAGGCTCCGCCATTACAGGTACTAATGGCAGTTGATCGTTTGTTGCCATCGGAAAACATGACGGTAAGGTCAGGATTGAAAAACACAGGTGTGTAACTGTTGTCGATATGAGTATTCCAAGTGTCACTGCCACTGTATGTAAATAAGGTACTGGATTCAGTATTTTGCCCTGTAAAGCCAAAAAAGACAGACAGCATTATAGAAGGTGTTTACTATTCATATTTTTTGAACATTTTATTCAAAATGCTTTTTTGTCTTCTTTTTTTGAAGCAATTTTTCGTGGAAATGCACAAAATCTACCTACATGTCTTTCCGTAGTTATATATTACATCTTCTGTAGAGGTTGATGACGTCACTGACCCATTTGGTGCTTTGAAATCATCTGTAGTATCGTCGTTGAAGTTACCCAGGAGTCCTGAAAATTAATACGCTTAAGGTCCAGGCAAGTAGAATGAGTGTTTGACCATCATTAATTATGAAAGAAAATAATTGTTGTTGTTTGTTTTTACTTCTAGGGTTTTGGGGATAAATTGTTCAATTTTGAATACATTTTTTATCATTAAAATGCTGAAAATAAACGATTTGATTCAATAATAAAATACTGTCTAAATTGGTAGTTCAATGTGGCAACTTTTTGAAAATATAATTATAAATACCTTCGAAGGCACCCTTATATTTGGCATCAGAATCAATGACCAGCTGAAACATTTGATTTTTCAGTTGCACCCCCGCAGTCAGTCCACCACTAAAGATCATCTTCCAGGTTGGCACACTGTTTGCCTCAGACTTACTGATGGATACTTCAAGCCAGTCAACATCACTAGACAGGTCAGGGTTTTGAAGATTACCATTTTTCAAGATTTCTATTCATAGCAACATGTATAGTTATTAAAATACTATAATAGTCTGTAAGTATTTAATTACCAGGTATACACATATTGTTTAAGTTATTTTGCTTTTTAAAAGTGTTTTTACTAGATGTATCTAGGTTGCATGAAATGTATGAATAATTTGACCTGAGAGTAAAATTGCAAATACATTTAAAGTGAGATACTCGAGAGCTTTAGATAAATTCACATTAGAATCAGTTGATGGGCTGCAAATTTGGACCTGAATTTGGCAACTAAAGCCTTTGAGCAGTAAGGGGTATTTCAAGCCAGTATTTACAGCGACACTAGACCCCGACTATAGCAGTTCCATCTGGTGGACTGGTCTACACGTCTAACAGTGGGATAAGAACCCTCTTGCGACCAAATTTTTAAGAATAGGCATATTAATTAACATACCGGAAAATCATATATTTTCGTGGGGTCAAATTTTCAAGGTTTGAGGGAAAAATATTGGCTAATTGGGATTTGATTTCGTGGTTGGAATTTTGTTTTAGTAGTAATGCTTATAAAATTTTACATTTCATTGTGGTTATAAATTCGTGGATCTCTCCATTCCTCGAAAACAACGAAAATTAAACCCCCATGAAAATTAGTGATTTCACAATGTTTACATATGTAAAATCTATATTCCAGTCCATTTCTTTTAGGAACATATCAAAGATACCTTCTGGGCGTAAAACCAATATACCTTGTCCACTAATGGGTCCTTATAGTTTATATTTCATGTTTAATTTATTAGCATAATTAACAACTGTGAATCACTATAAGTAGCAAACACATTTACGAACCTGCGCCATCGTTAGCAGAATTAAGGCGGATTTCAATCTTGTCACTGCTTGGGCTGCTTTGTTTACCAGCTATTGAACTAATGTAGGTTGCGCTTTTCACACCATCTTTTTCTAACGGTGAAAATCTTCCCTGAACCTCCACTTCTGAAGTCCGTAATAAAACAAATTCCCCGTGTCCGTTGAAGGTAAAGGACAAGCCATCTAGAGTAGTCAGATGGGGATCTCCCAAAGCACCACCTGTAAAAGCAAAAAAATATGAAAAATCTTTCAAAATTTGGACAATTAATATATTTTACTTACAGTATTATCCTATGAATTGTTTTATATCGTACGCACAGATTAGAAAGTGTGATTATTCTTTTAAAGTGTACTTAAACAAAATAACTCGGGAGAAGAGCATACACGGCCTTTTTAAATTAGGAGAGGTCATGATCAGATAAAGGGGCATATCCAAGTTCATTCATTGTGAAAATAATTGCAAAATTATTGTATGAAAAAAGTGCACATTCTGCCAAATAATTAAATCATAGAACGTCATCATATAACTGCATTTCTATTGAAATTCATTATAGGACACATTATTTCAGACATAAGATACACTTATTCCAATTCCCGCCTGTATTTTACGTTTACAAAACAATTTTCAACACAGTATTACAAGCTTTAATAAAGCATTGAACAATTTTAGACCTACCGGCTCCACTGGCGACAAAATTATCAAATGTACAGACTGGGCGTCTCTCTAGAAATCCCTGACAGAGGTCGTCCTTAGAAGCGAACATATTGTTGGCATAACAGCAAGTCCTATACATACTGTCAGCATTATCTTGTGCTAGTCCAGAGTGACGCCTGAAAGACGAGAAGAATGTGGTATGTTTCTTGCAAATGTTTGATCTTAGAACTAAGATCTATAAGGTCAAAATACAGTATCCGACAGTAGTCTTTCTCGTCATCGTCATCTTTTAATGGAATAAATTGGAATCGGGAATCTAACATGATTTTCTTAATTTTACACCACCAAACAGGGCTTGCACTAACCTCCTTCTTCAATCTGTGGGACAGAATACAATTTTTACCTGTAAGTGTTAAACCCATTGGCTAACATGTGATCTAGAACCAATCCTTTATTGATGTTGTCATAACAACAACGTATGGTGCGTGCATCGCTTGATGTAGAAGACATGGCGCTTCTCGTAGCAAAACACGTCATTGAGTTTGGAATCCCTCCGTCCATGTACTGCACTAGAGTGTCTGTTTTCTGTAGTAGACTGGGTGGACACTTATGTACATCTGCACTCACAACAGGATTATTATTGTCGTTGGAATCAGTGGTTATCCACTCTGAACACACCAGACCCGGATGATCAACTGGGACCGTCTCTGTCAGGCGATAGTAGGAGCGGCCTTTACTGTGAACAAAGAAAATAATTATTTGAATTTATGTGACATAGAAATTGTAGTTTATATATCTTCAAAACAGTGTTTTTCTTCTAAGTACTTATTTTTAACAGACCGAGAGGTGAAATATGAAACTGAAACTTTGGATGTTTTCTTTAACAATAAGAAATATAGGAAACCCAATTTTTAAAATGTGCAAAAATTATTCAATGGTTTAAGGAATGAAATATTTATGTTTTTGTTTTTGTATGTAAGTAATTAGTTTTCAGGGAAGGGTCCAGATCGGTAAGATTTGTCTTTAGAAAAGATTGATTGCATGAAGCATAAAGATTAACAATTTTACTCCATAAAAAGTGTCACAATTAATTTTCATGAAAAAAAGATTAGATATAGATCATTTACTTTGTAGCTGGCGAAATGACAACATCGTCTATCCTTTGTATTTTAGGCTTGTTTGCAGCGTCATTCAGAAGATCGAGGTAAGATTGGGCGTACTCTGAGGCAGAGCCCCCCTGTTTGAGGGTACCAATCCTGACTGGGTATTTCCCAACTGAATCCAGAACCTTCCACTTCATCTCTCTGTCCTCGTAGGTAACTTTGACGAAGGAGTGTATGAAGTCTGTGATCAAGATGAGCTGGAATGTCACAGTCTACGAAAACAGGAGTGAAATTATATAACAGTCAATGGGTATAAATGTGCCAAAAAATACATTCTCTGATGTCTTGAGGAAAATATTTGAAAGGAAAAAAAAACAATTTCTAAAAGACTTTTTTCCCTTTAAAAATAAGAACAGTATATGCATCGATTATAGAATACTTAGCTATAAGATAATATATTAGATATATTCATTTTTCATTATTTTTTCCCAACCAAATTGAATCAACCGAAATGATGCTAGTACATTACTTGAGATGGAGTGGCCGGAATTTGATTTTGTTCCATCCTGTACCATGTGATCACAAGCATATATTTTGGGATAAATCCAGTAACACTAAATTTCCCGGCAATTTCTGTTGCCTTGGCTACCATAACGTCATTCTCTGACGTCACTTCAGGTGAGTACTCTTTGTAATACATTCCATTACTTGTACTTGCCTGTTAAAAAAAAAATATTGCATTAATTAATTTAGGATATTCCGCCTAAGTAGGAATAGGCATATTGAATGAAATGTATATCAAAGTATATCAAGAACTATAAAAAGACGAAGAATATGTGGTTCTAGTAAATGATCCAGAATTTAGGGGAAATCTTTTAAGAGTTGGATAAATCTTTTTATAGGCAACGCAATGACACTGAAAGGTTTGTGAATGACCAACTAAAGATAACTGAATATGATATTTCCGTCTCATCAAAAGCTGGCCCTCTTCAACAGAGAAACCAGAAAGTTGTAAGAACTTGTTTCCAAACTTTTGATTAATTCAAAATTAAAACAGAACTAATTTTTTAAAGTATTTTCTTTAAAATAGAGACATTTTTGATAGATAACAGATAATTATTACATTAAACATGACATTACTCTTCATTGAAATTAGACAAATTTGCCTCTTGATGAAACGAGATTTACTGAATTGGAATAAAAACATGTAGAAGTAGCTATGGTAAAATGAATTTGAATTTTTGTCCACCAAAAAATATTAATTGGTATCAAATCATAGATTTATTTTATCTTAACATAAAATACCCTGTATGAAAAGGAGCACACTGCGTCTAATGCAGGATGCTTATTCCCCATTGCATCCAAACCAACTTCTGATACATGTTTTGGAAGTCAGCTATTACACTGCTCCTGATATGTATTATTTGAGAGGGCTTGGAAAATGTCCGTTATCGCCACTTTCCTACATTAAGGAACCCTACTTACCCCGGAACTGATAACCATGTTTGACCACCAGGGGGCAACAGCAGCCTTTTCTTGGAAGGTATCATCAATTTCGAACTTGGTGGGATTTGTAAACGACTTCCGTTTTCCGGTACTAACAGTTTCACTTGTGATTGTAGTAAATAGTAGTAAGCCACTCCTTGTAAACTATAAATATTTTCAAACACCATGAGTACAGATAAAGAATGCTCTAATTCTAGAATTGCAAATTCAAAGTTCAATTCATATAAGCATTTTGTTTTAAATTTTTATTGTTTCTTACATACCGCATAAGTAGAATTTTTAGCGAGGATTTTATTTTGGCATTATATTAGCTGACATCGCTAAAATTAAATATGGCTAAAAATTAATTGCGTATTATTGGTTATAGTTTCTTTAGTTAGCATTTTAAAATCGCTAAAATTACTTCTCGTTAGAAATAAAATACCAGATTTTAGGTAGAAATCGCTAAATTTGCGTCTCGCTAAAATTTCCGCTTATACGGTATATGATGTTGAATCCAATAATTTTTACATTTAACAAAGATTGAGTAAAAATAAGTTTGATAAAATATGGGGAGAAAGAGCACATTCATACTTAATGTTTAAATGCCAGTGTTACTAATAAATGGAATATATTTATCAAAATATTCTTAATTTAAATAAAGTATCTATTAACGTTAATATAAGTAAAAAGCATCTTTAAATAACAGATAATGAGGTTTTCTCTTATTATTGTTGAGTATTGTGTGTTCCAAAGGCTATTTAACCGTTTAATTAAGAAATTAGAATAAAAGTAATATGCTAAATCTTTGATCCCATATTAGAGGTAATATTTTACTTACATAGAATGATGGATACAGATAAGTCCCGAAGGGTATAGCAAACTTAGGGAAGAAGTAAGGGGAGTACTCATCATTGGAACTCAGCATAGTGTGTCCGCTATGGGACATCAATCGTGTCTCTGAAAAAGTTGTATCAAGACAAACTGCATCAGTCATATATAAATCAAAGGAGAGGGAGAAAGAAGAAGAGCTGAATGCCTAGCTTAAAACTTTTGAATAATTATACAGTGAAAACGGTCTAATCCGGCAGCTGTGTAATCCGTCACTCTCTGAAATTAGACATTAAATTTCACTCCCATTTCACTATTTTCCATGATTTTTTACACTGTGCAATCCGACACCCTGTCTATTCTGAACCACAAAATTTGTCTCCCAGCGCATGTCAGAGTAGACAGGTTTCACTGTAGTACAAGATCTTAAAAACATTAAGTGTGGAAAAGCAATGACTGCTGGAATATACAGACCCTAAACCGTGCTACTACACCTTAGAAACGAACCGTACCGTTCCGTGCAGAAAGCGTACCGTACCGTGCACAAAGCGTACCGTACCGTCCACAAAGCGAACCGTTCCGTGAACAAAGCGTACCGTTCCGTGCACAAAGCGAACCGTTCCGTGCACAAAGCGTACCGTACCGTCCACAAAGCGAACCGTTCCGTGAACAAAGCGTACCGTACCGTCCACAAAACGTACCGTTCCGTGCAAGAAACGAACCGTACCGTTCTTTGGTTAATTATGCAAACCACGCCCCCAATGATTTTTGAATCGTATAATGACCAAATAAGTCATTTTGGTTTATTTCTCGCTACGGCGCCTGTGAAAGGAGGACGGAGGTTGTGTCTGCCTGTTGGAAACACCATTATCAAGTATCGTCTGTCTGGATCTTCAACTGTAAAAATAAGGAAACTACTCGAAGCAAACGACAACTGCAAAACAACTAGAGAGAGTGTGAGACGATTCCTTATTTGCTATAAATCAAATCAACTGGTTGTGTTTGTGGTCAAATGTACAGTACAGGCCACGAGTTTTTCCCGCAAAACACGTACGGGGCACAGTTCAATAGACTATAATACCACTAAGATAGAACACGCTTTCATGAATTAATTCCCTGGTTGTCTCTACTTTTGATTTTAATTCTGCTCATTTAAATTATAAAAATCTTATCGGATACAAGATCGTTTTTGTCGTAAGATCGTTTTTGTCGTAAGTATGCATTCATATGTAGTACATATCAGATGCGTGATTTTACTAATGAATTATTTTGTAAGAATTTTAAAACATATATAAACTGTCAAATTAAAAAAAAGATCCGTATTAAACTCTCACATTAATTCTGTTAAGATTCTTACTATATAAGGCGAATCATTGATGCAGTTATACTTGCACTGAAAATCTGTAATCATGTAAAATATGGATTAAAATATTACATGCGGTAAACATGAAGATTTCTACTGAACAGAGAGATAATAATCTTACTAATAAAACTGTTATCAACTTTCACGCTGCATAAAAAAAATCGCCAGCCGAATTTCTTGCAAATAAAATGTGCAAACTGCAGTATAAATATTCTGTACTTCATTCTGAAATACATCTTATAAAAAAAAATGAAGAAAAAAACAGTTTGCGAAAAAATGAAAATATTATAAGGTTTGTTACACTGTACCCCCATCCCCTTTCTAGAAAGCAATACGAATTAGCTGGTTAAAAGTTCTTTAAAAGTCTGCAAAGTGGTACGTTGTTGTAAATTAAAATTAACCATAATCTACAGGAAACATTTTTATAAGTGTCTGAAAAAAGATTATATTTACCAAATAAAATGAAATTTAAATAAAATATATCAATTGTCTTTCAAGCCATATTATGTTTGTTACCCCCCCCCCTCTCTAGAAGGCGATACTTATGCGAATTTTTGTGGCTTTAAATTGTGCTTTTGTAAAAAAAAGAAAATTATAATTCAGGGATACATGCTTATTTATTTTTGTCTGAAAAGGGATAATTTAGGAAGTAAATTTGTAATCAGTGTTGTGGTGAAACCTGGAAGATGAGTTTGCTGGATGTCTGTTGAGTGATTTAATACACTTGATGTGGTCAGAACTAAATAATTTGAAAGGTGTTTTAAACACACGCCCCCCCCCCCTCCCCCGTTTCTCCGGTTGTGACCCAATATTTTTTTTAGACAGGTGTGAACTATGAACTGACCAAAAGAATGTTTCAAATCACAGGAGAAATTCTTCCTGGGTAAACAGACTTTCAGGGTCACCTAGCGTCATGCCATTTTGATTGACAGCTAGGTGATGCACGGGGATTTCATGCGGCAGCATGCATGTACAGAGAATGGATTATTCATTGCACAATAGTTGTAAATGGGTTGATTAAATAGCATCATAGACCGATTAATTGTGACTTTGGCGATGTAAATAAAACGAAGAATGAGAATAAATACAAGTTATTATTTTTTTTTTTACAGATAATGTACATGTTTTAAGGGTTTGCATCTCTCTCTCTCTCTCTCTCTCTCTCACGATATTTTTACAGCCTTAACAAGAATAGAATAACTTAATAAAATAAAGAAAAACTTCTAAAAATAATTACTTAATACACTGAAAAAATTATTGAAAACATAAATACTTGTCTGTGAAAAGAATGTTTTTTGTTACGAGAAAGCGCTCGGAACTTATTGTATTAATTTCGTGTGTCTGCTGTTGATTTTTGTATTTATTTTGTTTACTGATATTTCTCTTCTGAAGCAAACGTTTAAGCGATAACAATTAAAAAAAACAATTTACATATCTAATTACTAGGAATAAAACATCGTCGGAACCCACGGGTTTTCTCTCCGTTACATTGCATTTAACAAATGCAGTGTAACGGAGAGAAAACCCGTGGGTTCCGACGATGGGAATAAAAATGAAGCAGGAATAGTCATATTTATTTCTATAGATCAATCAATTAAAAATAATTTATATCTGTGCATAGTGTTATATGTTTAGAACAAGTATATACCCGGTATATATTAATTCCTTTTAATTATGTTACAACTTTACTTTAAAGTAAAAAAATATTTCATTTTTAAAATTATTTTTTCCTTTTTCAAATGAAGGGTCAGCATACGTAAAAATTAAATACAGAAATATTTACGAATTCTATATATATTAATGCATATCTATACATAATGCCAAAGACATCGGTGGGATGTTTTTTTTCTTCCTTTCATTTTTTTTTTTTTTTTTTTTACATTTTTCCTCCTTCACTGCTGTAGTGTAAAATGTTTAAATTGAAACCTAGAAATTAATTTGTAAATAGCTGAAATATAATTATATACATGCATTAAGTACTTCAAAAGTCATTTAAAATGAATAAATTTTTAAGCAGCCAATCAAGAATTAAAGCTAACATGCTCCGCCCACTTCATTTACATACCGTTTCTCAAAGCGTACCGTTCTCAAAACGAACCGTTCCGTGCAAGAAACGAAACGTACCGTCCACAAAGCGTACCGTTCCGTGCACAAAGCGAACCGTTCCGTGTACAAAGCGTACCGTTCCGTGCACAAAGCGAACCGTTCCGTGCACAAAGCGTACCGTACCGTTCTCAAAACGAACCGTTCCGTTCACAAAGCGTACCGTTCCGTGCACAAAGCGTACCGAACCGTACCGTTCAAGTGGTGTAGTAGCACGGTTTAGGGTCTGTATCTTATTGCACTTTTTAAATTACACGTAATACTATTTATACCAGAATTCATAAAGATGTGTCATCGCATGTGTATTGTCAAATATACGACGAATTAATATATTTTGGTAAGAAAAGTAAAAAGTAAAATAATATTTATGACTTTGCAAAATTCTTTATATAAAATGGAAATAAAACAGGTGAAGAAGAAATTAAAGATGCAATCAAAGCAAAGAGAAAGGTATACCTTTGCATGTCCCCACTGTCCCCGCCCCCTGATATCCTGATTTACAGGCACAGGTAAAACTGCCAGGTGTGTTGGTACAAGTGGCCCGCTCCGGGATGTCACAATTGTTTGTCAAGGTGCTACTGCATTCATTGATATCTGTAAATATCAATAAAGTTAATGCATATTTTTTTCTATACATTTACATGAAGTATTCTCTGACTAATAAACATGCTATTCTGACTCCAAAGTGTACATTATATTAAAAGAGCACCTGTGCAGGTCCTTGTATCGGTACTATAGGTAAATCCGCTATGACAGGTACAGGAGTAGTTTCCTATAGTATCCTTACAACCGGACACGCCTACTTTAAAAGAATTCGTGTTCACGTCTTTACAGTCGTTGTTCGTCCTGGTACACTCGTTTTCATCTGAAATAGTTCATTAATTAATGTATTATAACTATACTTTCGTTTTTAAGTGAATCTGGATGATTGCCCTGTTCCAAAGTCTGCTTGTTAAAGAGTTAATATGGGGTAAAGTATTTATCATATTGGTGTGTAAATAGTTGATACTTTTATTCATATTTTTGTCATTTGTGTTGAATTTTGCAGAATGACAGTGTTTTATAATTATTTCATCATATTAGTTTTTTTGTTTAGTTGCTATTACAATCATAGACGAGCTTTTCACAGTTATTATGTCATCTGAATGTTTAAATATCTTTTAGGAATTTGTGTTCTCATTTTTTATATATTATTTTCCACTAAAAAAAAGTTCAAATTATTTCATTTAAAGCAATATGTGCTGCATTTTTGAAATTTTCATTTTACTGTTAAAATGTTATATTATGATAATTTTGTATGTAACTTAAACCTTTGTGATCAATTAGACCAAAAATAAAGCAGAAGTACAATCCAATATACAGTTTATATAAGAAACAATTGTTGTACAGGACGATAATATAATGTAATTTTGCTTCAATCAAAGCTTATAAATAGTTCTTCCATCGCAATTGTGAACAACAGAAGTTAATGAACCTTTTTTTCTGTCGTTGAAATAGTTATTTCCAATTTTGCAACAAAAAACTCCGACGTCAAAGTTGCAACTCATATTACTTTAATCATTTTTCTTAAACAAAACGCAATTGACTTGCTGATTTTGTCATTTTACGTGTATACGTGTACTAGACACCGATTGTTGTGAATTTTATCATTGCTGTGTTTGCTTTGTTTGTTTTGTTGTTAGTATTACGATATCTGCTGTACTCACTGGTACAGTAGACGTTGTTGTTGTCGTTGATGTAACCCTCTTGACACAAACAACGAAACGACCCGTCACTCTTCACCAGACACGTGTGGTCTACCCCATCAGCCAGGCAGGGGTTGACGGAGTCCTGGCAGGGGTTCGTCGTTACTAAATAATACAATGTCACATGTATTTTTCACAATATGAAGTTATAGATAAAGCATAACAAAGGCAAGCAAGAACCCTTTGCTCCTAGATAGAAAATAGGCACAAGTGGCAATCAAAACACTAAGTTTTGAGATAAACATTTTGTGAAGCTACCAAAATTGCATACACAACAGTGGAAGGAACTTTCTATATTGCTAAAGTTTTCAAGATAAACACGAAATAAAATTTGAATCCAGCGTTCCAATTTTTGTGTCTTTTTTTCCCCTTGTGGTTTCATTTAGACTTACCGACACAGTCTGGTAAATTCTCGCATTCTGTTTCTTCTAATAAATCGGCACCACAGTCAGAGCCTCGGTTTGCACCTGTGACGTCAGTACAGCTTCGTGTCCTGTTCTTAACCCCACCTTTACAATCTTGATCACATGCTCCCCAGGCACCCCATTGAGAATACATGGCTTCAGCTGAGACACAAATAGTTAAGAAATTAAATTAAAATCAAACATTATGAATCCATATTTCCAATTCACTACAAGTAAGGAATGGTAAATGTCCTTACCGAACTGACAAGAGTCCCCCGTGTATTGTGAGTAACACTGACAAACATATCCAGTAGAAGAACTGGAAGACAGTGTACACGTGCCGTTGTTACAATTAACACCAGCACACCTATCCCCAGTGGTTGTGGGAGCAACTGTTGTTGTCGTGGTATCTACTGCTGGGGCTGTTGTAGTTGTTTCTGGAACTTTCGCTGTTGTGGTTCCATCAGCAGAAGTAGTGGTTGGTTCTGCAGGTGCAACTGTTGTTGTCATTTCTGCTGGCGCCTTTGTTGTGGTTGTTACTCCTTGAACTGCTGTTGTCGTATCTTCTGGTGCTGCCATTGTTGTTGTCCCTTCTTGGACCCCTTTTGTTGTTGTTTCCTCTGGTACCATGGAAGTTGTGTCTGCTGGTGCCCTCGTTGATGTAGTATCTACTGCGGGCATTGCTGTAGTTGTTTCTGAAGCCTTGATGGTCGTTTCTTCTTTTGCCATAGTTGTTGTTTCTACCGGTGCTATCATCGTTGTTGTTTCTGCCTGTGGTTTTGTTGTTGTTTCTGCCTGTGCTTTTGTTGTTGTTTCTGCTTGTGCCATTGTTGTTGTTGTTTCAGCTTGTGCCATTGTTGTTGTTGTTTCTCCTTGTGCCATTGTTGTTGTTGTTTCTACTGGTGTCTTTGTTGTTGTTTCGGCTTGTGCCATCGTTGTTGTTATTTCAATTTGAGTTGTCAATTGAGTTGTATCTTGTGCACTTGTGCTCATTGAATTTACTGTGGTTGTAGTTTCTTGGATCGCTGCTGTTGTTAATTCTTCGTTTGTAGTCGTCGTTTCCGCTATTGTAGGAGATTATAATGAAAGCATATGTAAAAAAATGAATGCAATTTTTTTTATCAAATAAGCATAAAATGCATTTTAATTTCTACTTATAAAATTTTATTTGTTTATTAAGAACAGACTGTAAATATGTAGTCAAATATTATATAACAATGATCATTTTCTCAAACTAAACCTCAGGAAATCCATGAACATATTTTAACAAAATCTTTATGCAAATAACTTCATTAAGATAAATAAAAAAAATTGTGTTAAAAGGCAAAAATGCCAACATCTTTGGTTCCTTAATACTAGTGGGAAATGAAATATTTAATGCCTGCAGCCTAGTTTTATTTTGCTTTCCAGGAAAAATATATATGTTAACATAATTCTATTAGTTTCTATGCACTATTGCCTTAAACAAACACTTCAGTTTGATTTATCGGCTCATTTAACACACATCCGAGAAAATAAAATCAATTCATTCAATCAACATTTATCATGCTTTCCTCTACACTTTGAACGAACGTGCTTTGTCAACAACAGTATTAACATACTGGTATCGGGATTTTCTTTTAGCACAATCATCATTAAACTTAAGTGTTCAATGAACGCATGTGTTATCTGCAATAACATCATTAAAGATGAAAATAAATGTAAATGTTGTCAGCCGATAATTTGCATATCCGTAGCATAAACTATGAAATGGGTAAGCAAAAAACGCTGACAACTTTGCACTTTCCTGCCAAAAAAAATTAAGAATATGAAAACTGTCATGAATAGCTTTTAAATATAATATGACAATCAAATTATAGAAATATATTTGCTCTACCCTCAACAGTTCGTTCAATAAAATGAAATTCATAGGAACTTATCATACCAGAATAATTTTTTTTTTCATCAACAATCATACAGATTATAGCTTGAAAGACTCTGCAGTGTAACTGTTAATTTCAGTGTACAACCTCATTTTAATTACGATCAATTTCGTTTGAAAGCTCCCTTTTAAATTTTATTTAATTTGATAACTACAAATCAGTTAAAAAAACAGTTTTATGAGCTCAAAAATGTTATATAGTTATATAAAACTATTAAAATCTGGAATATCAAATCGATACCTCTTACGATTTTCAAACTATAATGCCATATGGCAGAAGGATAGATGGACGTAAGGCGGAAAGACAAACAGACAGACAGACGTCGAGTACAGTGATCTCTAAGTGTCGCTCTATTCTGGAGGCGACACAAAAAAGTACACATAAATGTTTAATTGTAAAAAAAAAAAATGTTAGGACCTGTAAAAAGATTTTAAAGAATTGCAAGGCATTACAAATTTTTTTCACTTAATTTGTATTTCAATCTTATTCGACTTGTACGAGTTTTTTTTTTATCTTTGAATATAACATGTATAAAACGTAGTAAAACATAAATGTTCACTTCTAAATTTTAATGACATTCCGTTTTTTTTTTGTTCCTTATAAGAAACTTCGGTCCTAACATTTAATTTCTGATGTAATTATTCTCCTAATCATGCTATAGTGAAAACTCTCCATGCTTTCTGAAAAAAATCATGCATTTTCAAGTTGGACAATGAATGTATTATATACAAATTTAATGTAGTCACATTATTATAAATAATGAGGGGGAAAGTAGAAACGTTGGGTAAGTCATTGTATTCAGTCAAATACATTTTTCACATATTATTATTAATTAACAATTAAGGATATCCAAATTCAAGACACAACGATCTTATTAGTTATTGACTTATAATTTAAGAGTTATTACAATACATTTGAAAGTATACCAGAAAGTGAAATCGGCTGCCTAAAAAATATTTATCTGTCAGACCTGATTTTCCAGTGCAAAGCGTCCACAAATATTTAATCTTTTCGAAGGAATATCATTATTTTGCAAACCTAAAGACTCTCCTTTTCTTCTAATCGAATTTTGCATTTGTAATTGATTACCAGTGTCCCATTAAATGTTTACTATAAAAAAAGATTTATGATGTGTTTTCACTTGCATGCGCCAGACGTGGTCCGAGGCAACACCATTACTTTATATCACATCAGAAGATGCTGAGCAGTGTTTCATTATGATCAGCCATTCATTAGAATATCAAATTATAAAACAAACAAAAGGTGATTTGGTAGTAGCAAACGAACATGCCAAGTACACTCATATTGTGTCATATCTACGACACAGGTGGAGATCGAAGGCAGACAACTTTTACCTGTAGGACTGACATCACCAAGGCTAGATATTGTATCTAACTGTGTTGTACCTAAGTGTAATTTTGTAGTTGCTTTTCGTTCAGATGAGGTTGTGTATTGTGCTGTATGTGTTTGCATTGATATTGAGTTTTGATCGACGGGACTTGTGTATTGTGAAGTCTCTTCACTTATTGTTGTAGTTGGTTGTTGATCCGAAGTTACTGGGTCCTTAGTTGAGAGCATCACAAATGATGTCGCTGTTACATCAAGCACTGGGGTAGATGTGTCCTGCGAGGAATGTACGTCATTAGTTGTATGTTCTTCTGAAGTTGTTGATTTTGTTTTTGCAGATATATCCGTGTAAGTCGCCATGTCAGTCTGTTGCTGAGATGTGCTAGTTTCCGTTGATGATGACGTTTGTCCTGTCGTTGTTGTTTGTTCCTTGTACGTTGTGTTAGTATTTGTCATATCACTAATAGGGGAGATTGTTGATACCATGATACTGTTTGTGGATGAAAGACTTGCAAGATTTGCATCTGACTGACTGGAAGATGTACTTGATGGGGGGTGTGATGAGGAAGACATGTATTCATTAAATGTGGAACTAAATGTCGATGTTTTCCTTGTCGACATTGACGCATATTCAATTGTTGGTGGGTTTTCTGTTGAAGATATTGAATTCTCTGTCGACACTGTTGCATATTCCAGGGATATTGGGAGTACCGTTGTTGTTGTGAAACCCGTTTGTGTGTCTACCGTTGAGTAAATACCAGATGACGGAAATGTATGACCTGTTGTATCTGTTGCATGAATTGTTGAAGACGATGTATCGTTTATTATAGGTTCTGTTGACGATGATTCATGGTCTGGTTGTGTAGTTGTATGATAAGGGATATCTGTTGTAGAATTTATAAATGCCGAAGTGTATTTTGTGGATGTACTATGAGAAGATGTTGATTTTTCCTCCGAGGTTACGAAAGTATGTGTGTTTTCTGTTGAAGATATGTTATTTGATGTCGATTGACTGTTCATCGTTGAAGCTTCTGTAGATATTGACGTAGACAGCAAATCTGGCTGAGTATATGGTGAACCTATATGAGGTGATGTTGTGGAAGATAGTGATGGGGATTCTGTTGTCGAATGAGTAGTGATATCGGAATGTGTGTTAGCTGTAGATGAGGAATGTGTTAAGTCTGCAGTTACATCAGACTGAAGGGAAATTGTTGATGGGGATTCTGTGGTTTGCTGTGAAGTGATTATTGAGTGCATGGAAGTTGTTGATGAAGGCTCTTTTGTTAAATTTATAGTCATATCAGATGGAGTGAAAGTTGTTGATGTTGTGATTAAATGTGTTGTTGACTGTGAAGTGTCAAGTGATGAAGTGGACATTGTTATTTCGGATACTGAAGAAGTGATATCTGATGAAGAGTTGGTTGTTGATTGAGACCATTGTGTCAACTGTGTAGTTATATCTGATATAAATGAACTTGTTGATGGGAATTCTGTTGTTGACTGTGATTTGATATTTAATGTAGTAGATGTTGTGGATGGGAATTCTGTTGAAGACTGTTTTGTGATATCTGACTGATAAGAAATTGTTGATTCTGTTGTTGATTGTGATATAATAACTGAATGTGTGGATATTGTTGATGAGCGTTCTTTCGTGGAACTTGTCATGTTGAATGATGGAATAGAAGTTGTTGATGGTAATTCTGTGGTCATTTGTGAGGTGTTACCTGATAAAGTGGACGTTGTTGATGGGAATTCTGTGGTCGATTGTGCAGTGATAACAGAAGTAGACGTCGGTACATGGGAGTATGTGGTAGTCTGTGAAGTGTCAGCTGATGAAGTGGAAGTTGGTGATGGGGACTCTGTGGTCGATTGTGCAGTGATAACTGATAAAGTTGAGGCTGGTGAAGAAGATTCCGATGAAGTCTGTGAAGCGTCAACTGATAAAGTTGAGGCCGTTGATGGGGGACCTGTTGAAGTCTCTGTAGAATAAACTGACGAAGTGGATGTTGTTGTTGGGGGTTCTGTTGAAACCATTGTAATGTCAACTGTTGAAGTGGAAGTTGTTGACTGGGATTCGGTTGAAGTTTGTGTAGTGTCAACTGTTGAAGTGGAAGTTGTTGTTTTGGATTCTGAAGACGTTTGTGTAGTGTCAACCGATAAAGTTGAAGTTGTTGATGGTGATTCTGTTGATGTCATCGTTGTGTCAACTGTTAAAGTTGAAGTTGTTGTTTGGGATTCTGTTAATGCCTGTGTAGTGTCAATTGCTAAAGTGGAAGATGTTGATGGGGATTCTGTCGAGGACTGTGTAGTTTCAACTGACAAAGTTGGTGTTGAGGAATATGTTGACATCTGTGAAGTGTCAACAGTGGAAGTTGATAGTGGTAAATCTGTGGTCGACTGTGCAGTGATATCTAGTAAAGTGGAAGTTGGTGACGGAGATTCTGTTGACATCTGTGTAGTGTCAACTGATAGAATGGTAGTTGTTTGGGACTCTGTGGTCGATTCTACAGTGGAAACTGATACAGTGGAAGTTGAAGAAGAAGATTCGGATGATGTCTGTGCAGTGCTAGATACTGAAGGGGATGTTGTTGATTGGACGTCTGTAGTCATTACGGAAGCAGATGAGGTTGTTGATTGAAAATCTGTTGTTGATTCTATAGTATCTTCTGTCGTGGTTTGTGATGTTGTTAATACTACTGTTGTTGATTGTGTGCCTAGATTATCTGATGATGTGGGAGATGATGAATATGCTGTAGAAAGATCTGTATTGCTAAATGTATTAGTTAAATCTAATGTGTTAGTTGAGGTAATAATAGATGGCGTTGAGCTTTCATCTGTACAAGAAAACATAAGCAAAATCATGGTTAAAGAGACTAAAATTGGGGTTTATCAAATAATACATAACCTTTATCTACATTGTCAAACAAATAATTATAAGCATTTTATTAAAGGGAAATATTTTATAACTCAAACAAAATTCACGAATATCTCAAAGAAATGTCGGTAATTATTAATACAGATAATCATATTGACGATTCTCTAACTTCCAAAGTAATCCATTTTATAATGTTAGTGTCTTAAAATTCAGTTAAACCTAATGTGTGTATATTATATATTCATATACATGTATGTCATCGTACATATTTTTTTTAATTGAACACGTAAAGCAAGTATGCAATTACAAATGCTGAATTTATTCACGCAATGTATAAAAATTATTTTTTTTAAAATGTCAACTTGATTTACTTTTTTTAAGTATAATACACAAAATTTTAAAATGCAACTGAAGCCAATCTTGATATTAAATTCAGCCACTTAAAGCATATTATTCAAGTTCATAAATAACTGTGGATGATTCACATACCTGCTGTGGTAGTTGTTACTTCCACGTTAGCTGTTGTAGTTGGTTCAGAAGTAGACTCCACAACCTGTGAAGTTGTGGTTGACTCTGGTATAGCACCCTCTGTGGTGGTGGTGGTTTCATTGGTAGATGTGTCTGATGCTGTCGAAGACTCGGGTGAAGACGAAAATGTGGAAGAGTCAACGACTGTCGTGTATTCTTGCGTGGTATCTCCTGTAAAGAAAAAGGAACAGAATCCTAAAAACTTACATCTAACAAAGGTAACAGAATACTTTCTTTACAATAGATATTTCCATATGACGTATTTTCTCTCCGAGGTAATTCCCTTGGCCGCCAACTTGCATGGTTGTCAACCTGGTACTCTAGTAATTTTTTTTCTCTTTGACTTACCAAATTTTAGAGGGTGTAGCAGAGATATTCGGGGGGGGGGGGAGGATCTTTATAGAATAAAAAAATAAAGGAGGTCCCAACAAATGAATATTTGTCAGAAAAACAATGTTTCCTACCCCCAATTGCCAGTATAAAAAGTTAAAGTTGGTTGAATTATAAAGGAATATGAGCATGTTGAGCTCCAATATTGGAAATAACTCTCGTTAATTTGGGTCTTCTGCAAATTATCCGTGTTTTATCATTATTTAAACGCATTAATTTTTATTTTGGTATACCGCCAAATATACCAGATATACCAGAGAATGTACGTATTTCAGTTTAAAAAAATAAATGCAACAAAGCTTTAGAGCAAAAATTAATTAGAATTAGCTAGATGACACCAGAAAAAAAATACTAGTAAATGACTCTGCTGAAGAGCTTAATATCTTTCTTCCACATACACAAACAGGAGTTTAAGGAGCCGTACTGAAAATCACAGACTTCCATTTTATATATTCATTTGATGTGTCATCTAAAGATACCAGTATGGTTGAAATTTTGCAGGATCATTTTACAAATGTTTTATCTACTTTTAACTTATGACAGTTTCGAAATGATTTATATTTGAAAATAATTTTTATAGATTCAGAACATTACTGTTTAGATAAAGACTCATGATTGCTTTCTTTTTGACATTCTAGAGTTCTAGGGGGTTGCATAGTTCAAAATGACAGCAGACGCCTTGCAGTATGTACCTAAAGCAGACAAGTAAGTGTACAGTACGTGTATTTTATGATGCGTCTTTAAAAATCTGGAATGCAATTTCGATATATTTCCTTTAAAATGGCACTTTCAGCAGAGTAAAAGTGTATGTTTGTTTGAAAACGATTAATCCTATAAACACTACGTGTTAATTGAAAGAATGATTATCTTTACAGACAAAAGGCTAAAACAGGATTTTCCATTCCAGGAACAGCAATTTTATAAGACACACCTTTGACTTTGATAAAATTCACAATTTTTCTGTCACAAACTTGATGCAAATCTTGTTATCGAACAAGCGTGAAAGAGGTTCAATTATAAACTTGACACCCTTCCAAAAGCCGGTCTTGGAATGACAAGCGACACATCTCAAGTCCTACATAACAACTGAAAATGAACAGTAATATGTTACATTCAATTCTACAAATATTCTACCATTGTTAAACCTTTTGTGCCTGTTGTTGGTTATTTTTATGACTACATATGGATTTATGTGCAAAACGCTTTCATTGAAAAACCATGTATTACATGAAATACCATATAAGTAGAATTTTTAGCGAGGATTTAATTTTGGCATTATTAACGAGGGTCCTAGGATCTCTAAAATTGAATATCGCTAGAATTTAATTGCATTTTACTTGTAATAGGTTCTTGAGTAAGCATTTCAAATTCGCTAATATTACCTCTCGCTAATAATAAATTACCAATTTGGAGCAGAGCAAACACGGACCTCTAAAACATCAGAAGTGGGATCAGGTACCATGGAGGATTTAGCATCCCCTGCTGACTGGTCACACCCGTGTTACAACGCACTTTGAAAAAAATTTTCAAAGTGCGTTAAATTTGAGACCAAATCAACGCACTTTGAAAAAATAAAATTTCTTTTCAAAGTGCGTTAATATCAGACATATTAACGCACTTTGAAAAAATGTGTATGGTTTGTTCAATATTCTTGCAAATCTTGGGTATGATAAATAATTGAACCTGTTTGAACTCTTCGGTGATAAGGTCACTTCAGGGTGTGAAAGTGAGCGATTTAGATTTTTCCATACTTTGAAAATTCTTTCTCTCTTAAATGTTTTACTGTACTTAATTTTTTCCAATTTGCATGCATTTTATGTAAACTTAACTTTATTGAAAGTATTTTAACGTCATATCATTTATGCAAATACATATATTTGGGTGTAGACAGTGCCCGTGGGTGTAGGCATCAGTACCGGGGAAGGAGGGTAGTCACATAATATAGGCATTGAAAATTAGGGGGATCCCCTTTCAATTTGCTACCGACGGCTATGTACAATGTATAAGGAAAAAAAGAGCTGAAGTGAGAGACTTTCTACTCGTCTTCTCCTTGTTTTCCGTGAGGTTAAATGAGTACATGTAAATAAAAAAGGTTTTATTAAGATATAATCATTACAAGTTGATTCTCTCAATAACTGAAATCTGTAAGTCTAGAATTTTTTGTTTTATGCATATTTTTTTGCAAAGTGCGTTAAATTTCCCCAAGGTAAAAACATGTTTATGTTCACTCTTCACGCACTTTGAATTATTTTTTCAAAGTGCGTTGATTTTGTCCCAATTTTAACGCACTTAGTGCGTAATTTTTTCAAAGTGCGTTGCCACACACCCGCCTTGTGCTCCTTGTCATTTTCGAGAAATAATGGGAATTCCTGTCGACCATTCAGTACCGCTATTTAAATAATGTAGCGGGGATTTCGAATAAGTCAACTTAAAAAGTAATGTCACAAGTTCGATAAAATTGCTACTAGTTATACATGATGAAAGCTATATTTATTTCAAATCAGTCCTGAAAACTTCAAATTAAAATGATTTTTACTTCTCAATATATTGAATTAAATACAAAGTGCGATTATCGTAGTTGCCGCACCTAAATAACGTCATATGACGGATATGCGTCGTCATACACTTATACGCTTCTCTTTGTTTCATAAAAAATATTTGAGATTCACATTCACATATTTCACGTTCTTTAAGAATTATTAGCATCAATCGTGCACTCACTCTATATATGATTTAATCGTCTATCAAAATTCTTTGAACAGTACCATAAGAAAAACTTGAAGGTTTCTCATATCGCTCTAACGGTAACACGTCTCTCTTTTTTTTTTATGTCAGACACCGTTGAACGTTTCCGCCCGACCTCCTATTTTTCGGTCTCTCTGTCCTCAGCTGATCATTCAATTAAGGAATTTTTAAAGTTTTGTGTAGGTTATTGGTGTGTGAATCATACAGGCTTGTCACGTAAGCATATTTCATGTAGCGCGCTAGCGCTTCATGAAAAATATGCCTACGTGCAAGTCTGTGTGATTCACACACCAATAATTCACACTAAACTTAAAAACATTTCTAATATTTACATTTTACATTTTAAAGCACCAAAAATATACTTAATAGTTGAATTTCTCGCTGCCCTTCGTTGTATTTTTCTAACGTTACTGTAGCCTCATTGTGACGTCACATAAGCGCACGTTCCTCCATGTATATTTCTACGCGTGAGTATACTTTTAAAAGAAATAAACAACGTTATTCAGTGAACATGGCGTTATGAATAGCAATTGTTCTGCTGGCATATTCCATGATGCGCGCTAGCGCATCATGGAAAATATGCCAGCAGAGCTATTGCTATTCATAATGCCATGTTCACTGAATAATCGTTGTTTGTTACTTATATTTGCATTCTTTGATTTTTTAAAAATTATCAGAGGAAATCCTGACTTACATAAGGACGCGGCTTCTTGTCTTCAGTAATGAAAAACATACGGCTTTAAAATCAGTACAACTGATCAATAATCCTTTTCTCTGATAAATCACAAACAATTTATAAAGTAATTCCCTCTCAAACACATTTATCTGGATGCAAGCAGCGCCGTCATCACAATCTCTTAATTTTTGTTTTGATGCAGTTGTGACGTCATCGATCAACGGTATTGAAACCCTCTGTCAAAAATCAATAATTTAACACTATGATGAAAAATGAGAATGCTTTTATAACAATTATTACTCCAGAGTGCTTTTCTACGATTTTTTTTTTTAGTTTTTCTATTTATTTTTAATGGCTTATATCATTCTTGAAGTAGATATACTATAAAAGAAATTTTCTCTTTCTGAATGTTATTATCCAAATGTGAAGAGTTATCGTTCTTTGTACAAATATGCATGATACGAAAAAATAAAAATTTGGCAGTTATCTACAAATTTTAAAAAGTTTTGTAATACAATTAAATACATTGACCAAAATTGAATTTTTGAAGAATTAAATCAGCAATTTTAGATATTCTGAAAATCTTCTTTTTTTTTATTCAAAGAATATTATTTAAAGGTTATATTTATTCCTTTTAGGAAATATTTC